CCGATCATGCTCGAAATGGAATTACATTCTATTTGTGAATTCCAAGACATCATGATAACTTTAAAATTCCCCATTGTTCATATTTAAACCAAGATGATAAATTATTTTGGTTTTCTTTCTGACTGGCTTGCTTGCGTATATGTTGATTCCTTGTTCAGTCACGCACAATTCGTGATTTTGACACTCATGCCACCTGTCTGGTTGGAAAATTTGAGGTAATATTTTGCTTTCTCTTCTATTCCCTTCCTTTCTTCTTTTGAAAAATAATAATTATGGATGAATCTACTCACAATGTGAAATTGTTTTGTCAAGACTGTGGATTCATACTATAGGCATAGTAGCAGTTCGCCTTATTTGGGACTTGTTTCCGTGCCTCTACTTTGCATAAGTGCATTAGATGATCCGGTCTGTACAGCAGAAGCTATTCCATGGGATGAGTGCAGGTCACTTTTCTATCAACTATGCTTTGGATGTTCATGTGATCTGAACATATGAGTAGAGTATCTAGACCATTTATTGGCCAAGTTCCCTATTAATTAATGTATTAATTAGGGACTTTGTCTCATCAAATTTCTAGATCCTCTAGTAATATGCTCAGATTGTAAGAGTCTTGATCCATTTATATGATACAGATGAGTGTTTTTCATCAATCATAGGGCAAATAAAAATGTAGTTTTAGCCGTGTCAAAGCATGGAGGACATCTTGCCTTTTTCGAAGGAGTTGCTGCATCCAGCTTGTGGTACTTCACACACACACACACACACACAGGGGGATACTTCTGTATCCAGTTTTTATGAACTATGATGTTTTTAACAAGAAAAACTGAGTTCTTGACTCTTTGTAGGTGGGTGAGAGCAGCCAATGAATTCATTGGTGTTCTGCATTCTAGTCCATTCATGCACAAACCAAAGCAGCAGGTGAGCAACATTCATAGCGTCTTGGGTTTGGCTGAAATAAATGATGATAATATAAAAATATATACTACGTAGAAATTACTCATTTGACTGTGAATTATGCATAAAAGACTTTTATAGTTGAACCCATCAAAATGAAATTGAAAATGCAAAAAAAAATTAGCATTACAAAATGCTCTAAGTTCAAATGACCCAAGTGTAATCAAATTACACTTGCACCTTTGTATTTTTGGTGTGATCTCCTTTAATTTATAAATCTTTATAGTTTTTTTTTGTGGGCAAATCAGACTGATCACTGTATAATACCAAACCTGCTCTCAATGTTGCTCATTCGTACATGCTCCGTATAAGAAAGCTCACTCTGATACCGACATCTTCTAACTCTTTGCACACACAAAAAAAAAAATGGTCCAGGCAGAGAAACACAGTGTGCATTCTCAATCAATGGAGAGTTCAATGGATCGGGGACCGTACATTAGCATGGCAGATGGAATGGTAGCCCCAATGAAAGATGATAATGTGTCATCATCAACAAATGTTAATGAAGAAGAAGAAGAAGAAGCACAACATTTGAAGAATAGAAAGATCACAGCGGCTCCGGGTGGTGGTGGAGGAGGAAGAGGAGGAGAATCTTCCAATAATAATAGCACTGCGGAGTTAAGTGATGAAGATGATGCTAGCAAAGCCTCTCCTCCACCAGTTGATAAGAGCGGCTTCGTGAACAGTTGCTTGGGGCACCTCACCCGGCAGAGTCGGAGGTCGATTTGGCTTCTGGCGTACATTGCGCTGGTGTCATCTTGGCCACTGGCAGCTCCAGTCCTCCGCTTCTTATTCATGAAAAGGGGCAGGAAAACATCGCCTCCCACACACTCCTCCCATTAAGCAAAACTTTGTAACAGCACTTGTAGCCATGGAGGATTTAAGTGACTCAATAAATACATCATTAATTATTGCCGTCCAGTTCGCATTTCTCCCCTCACTCGCTATATATTGCAATAATGGTGTCACTACTCCCCCCCCCCCCACCCCCCAACCAACCAAATATTAGACACTATAACAAAGATGAAAGGATTGAAGACCCAAAGCGGGAAGTGAATGCTTCTCCCATAAGGTATGAATTGAAGGAACCAAATCACCATGTTTCCAAGGTGATGAATATTTTTTCACTTTTGATTTTTTTCCGGTCAAAATTGATAAAATTTGACCTCAAGTTAAATAAAAATGATATTAGATATTGATACAAAAATAGTTTTATTAGATTTATTATATCAAATATTTTCAAACTACTATTTTTTCTAATTAATACAGAATATATATTTTATTTAACTATAAGTCAAATGTTAAATAGTTGACAAAAAAGTCAAAACTGGATAAATATTCAAGGACGGAGGTAGTATTATTATTCACTCGTATTATTATAATTGACATGGGTATATTATCACAAGTGTAGTTGACTTTGGGTCATAATTGACGTGGGTGGAGCGATGGGTTGGGTGACTTTGGGTCGGGACTGGGTGGAGGGTTTAATGGGCGGCAGGGTGGGGGAGTGTTAGGGGATAGAATTATCAATTTTCGCAAACGGGGCATTATAAGTATCCTAATTTAAGCAATATCGTTTGTGGCCACTTAAAGTGAGTCCCCGTAAAACTTAGATCGAAAAAACAATAGGCACGCTCATGTATGAATCAATATCTGAATATTTATCAAGAATAAAAGGCTCTAAAAATTGTTTATATATCTCGTGTATCTAACCATAGTCTTAATCCATAGACTTAGTGCTTTGGTAGCATAGATTAGAACTACGATGTTCTGATTATGAGATTGTTATATAGAGGCTATGAATAAAATGTCCTTAGTGAAGTATGATGATACTTCTCTTTTAAATTAAAAAGTCACTTTTAATCCTTATTTGTTTAACCTACATATCACATCACATTTTTTCTCTATTAGTCTACTCATCACATCGTATTTTATCCATCAGGTCAAAGGGCATTTTTGAAAAGTCAACATCAAAACTCTCCTTAAATCCTTTAAAATTCAAAATGAGAAATATTTTGCGGGACGGAAGGAATATAATTAAATTTATTTAAATCAGACAGAATTTGAATAAAGTTATTTAGGAGATATGAGGTGTAGGGTACATGTTAATTCAATGATATTACAAATTCTTTAGCTAGTATCTAGGGTGGTAGTCCCCAGAAGAGGGGCCGAAGGGGGCATTGGTTGGTTTTTTCTACCTAAATTTATACTACCTTCGTCCTGCTATATTCGTCCACTTTTGACTTTTGGAATTGTTCATCTAAGCACTTTGGCTCATCAAATTCTCTCAATGTGTAAGTCTAAATATAGTCATGTGTGATCTTGTTTGATTTGTCTTAACATATAGACTATTAATATATAATTTCTATAATTTTTTAATAAACAAATTACAAGATAAAATGGATTAAAGAAGTGTATTGAATGGTGTGTAAAAATGAAAGTGGACAAATACTCTAAGATGGAGGGAGTAGTTTAAGAACCAAGATAGTGAAACAGAGCTAGTCTATTTTATTTTTAGAGTAAATTCTCAAAATAGTTCTTTGTAATAAGAGATTTTCCCAAATTAGTCTTCAATAAGTTTTAATTACCTACATGGTCCTCTATAATTAAGATTTATTCTCAAAATAGTCCTTTATAATAAGGTGTTTTCCAGTTAGGTGGATACATGCGAGATACATTAAAGGGGATGACTTCTGGAGCTACAAGCCTAAACAAGATTCATGCCGTTATTGGAAGGAAATGATGAGGGTTAAGGAGAAGTTTACTAGTATGCCTGCAAATCTACCTTATGCCATAAATAGAGGGTATGATTGGTTACAATGGGAGGGGGAAAAACCCGAGTGGAGAGAATGGGTCTAGAATAAATATACTCCACCCAAATTCAGATTCATAGTATGGTTGCTGTGGAAGGGCAGATTGAAAACGAAGGATAGGGTTAGCAAGTATATGAATATCAACACGAACTGTGAACTATGTGGTAGAGAAACAGAAACGGCAGAGCACCTTTTCTGGCAATGTGAGGAATCTAAATCTTTGGTTGCTTTAGTGATGAAGGACTTCAATATGCAAAGCTATGAGGGATCTGTTGAAGGTTTTGGGAGGGCAGTGCATAAGATACCAGGAGGGAAACAAAGGAAAAAGTGGATTGCTGTATGGGCTACTTGTGTTTATCAAATCTGGAGGTGGAGGAATGCCAAAATGCACCAGCAAAGAGGAGATACTGAGATGCCTACTCAACAAGCTATAGCTTATATAAGAAACAACTTAGAATATATAAATGTGTTGTAGTATGTAATGAGTGTTTGTAGTTGGAAGTTACATCTGATGTAACCTGTCTAGACGGTTGTTTTGGTAATAAAGTGTGTGTTTTATGTGGAAAAAAAGGTGTTTTCCCAAATCAGTCCTCAATAAGTTTTAATTACCTATGTGGTCCTCTATAATTGAGATTTATTCCCAAGATGGTCCTTCATAAATAATGTTACTCAAATGAGAATTAATTAAGGGTATTTTTTATTCGCTAAATTTAGAATTAAATCTTAAAATAACCATTTATAATGAAGTATTTTTCCCAAAATGGTTTCTCGAATTAAAGATGTGTATTTGATTTGAAATTTAAAAGATTTTTTTAAGTTTTAAATAGAGTAAATTCCCAAAATAGTCCTTTGTAATAAAGGATTTTCCCAAATTAGTCCTCAGTAAGTTTTAATTACCTACATGGTCCTCTATAATTGAGATTTATTCCCAAAATAGTCCTTTGTAATAAGATATTTTCCCAAATCAGTATTCAATAAGTTTTAATTACCTAGGTGGTCCTTTATAATTGAGATTTATCCCCAAAATGGTCCTTCATAAATAATGTTACTCAAATGAGGATTAATTGAGGTTATTTTTTTCTGCTAAATTTAGAATTAATTCTTANTATTTTTTAAATTTTACATTTAGTTGTACAGAAATGATTGTTTCAAAAATATACTTTAAATTTGGATTATCAAAATACCAAAATATCTCCCAGTTAATCCTCATTTGAGGATTGATTTGGGAAAACACCTTATTACAAAGGACCATTTTGAGAATTTACTCATAAATAATTTATGAATTATTTAAAACTTAAAAAATCTTTTAAATTTCAAATCAAATACACATCTTTAATTAGAAAAACCATTTTGGGAAAGCACTTCATTATAAATGATTATTTTAAGTATTAATTCTAAATTTAGCAGAGAAAAAATAACTTTAATTAATCCTCATTTGAGTAACATTATTTATGAAGGATCATCTTGGGGATAAATCTCAATTATAGAGGACCACCTAGGTAATTAAAACTTATTGAAGACTGATTTGGGAAAATATCTTATTACAAAGGACTATTTTGGGAATAAATCTCAATTATAGAGGACCATGTAGGTAATTAAAACTTACTGAGGACTAATTTGGGAAAATCCCTTATTACAAAGGACTATTTTGGGAATTTACTCTTTTAAATAATTCATAAATTATTGATGAGTAAATTCTCAAAATGGTTCTTTGTAATAAGTAAGATATTTTCCCAAATCAGTCCTCAATAAGTTTTAATTACTTATGTTGTTCTCTATAGTTGATATTTATTCTCAATATGGTCCTTTATAAATAATGTTACTCAAATGATGATTTATTAGGATATATTTTGGTATTTTGATCATCCAAATTTTAATTATATTCTCGAAACAATCATTTCTGTACAACTAAATGTAAAATTTAAAAAATATATTGACTATAAATAATTTATGAATTATTTAAAACTTAAAAAAGATTTTAAATTTCAAATCAAATACACATCTCTAATTAGAAAAATCATTTTGGGAAAGCACTTCATTATAAATGATTATTTTAAAAATTAATTCTATATTTAGAGGATAAAAAATACTCTCAATTAATCCTCATTTGAGTAACATTATTTACTATACGAAAGACCATCTTGGAAATAAATCTCAATTATAGAGGACCACGTAAGTAATTAAAACTTATTAAGGACGGATTTGGGAAAACACCTTATTATAAAGGACTATTTTGGGAATAAACCTCAACTATAGAGGACCACGTAGGTAATTAAAACTTATTGAGGACTAATTTGGGAAAACCCCTTATTACAAAGGACTATTTTGAAAATTTACTCTTATTTTTATACTCTGCACTCTATATTATTATTTTTTGTTATAATTTTTTTTAAAAGGAAAATGCCAGTGGTACTATCCCCACCTCCTCTATAACCACAAAAGTTTGCAAGTAAAATTCAAAAGAAAAATAAATAAATAAAAATCAAATAAAAATGAATAGTAAAAAGACATGCCGTGTGTATTTGGGCATTTTAGGGTATACAAAAGGTGTACCTTAGCATCATATGGGCGGTGGGAAAGGCAGGTGGTGGAGCAAATGGCCAAATAATGCATCCACTTTATACAAACGATTCTTGGTTGGAAAGCACAGTTCAACTACACTATTTGGACGGTGGGGCGGCCTAGGCCTTCTCCACAGACCAACACGGCCGCTCGAAAATGTGAAAAATTGAGATTGCTCTTGTGCAAAATTTACATGTTACTTCTTATTTTACTTTCTTTTACGAGTTAGGTCTTATTTTAATTTTTTTGTGGTATATTTATACTTAAAAATTAGTGATGAATTTGATTTTTAATAACCACTTTTATAACAATTTGAGTATTAAAATGATCCAGATAAATTTATATTAAATTTAAAAATATCAAGTAATTAAAATAATGAAAATCTAGCAATATTAGACCCTAGAAATTTGGAGGCCCTATACGGATGCCCACCTTGCACGCCATCCGAGCCACTCAGGCAACCACAAATATGGACAAAAATTTAACATGGAATTAAACTTTCCAATGTGGAATGAAATTAAATAATATTGTTTTCAAATTAGGTAGGTGTAGCAGCTCATCACCTAGTCTACTTTGATTGTTCCCCTAAATTTAATTTCCCATATAAGTATTTTCTCTCCCCATCTGTGCAAGTAATTTAACCTTCCTTCCAAAGTAGTCCATAAAATTAAGGTCCATTATACTAAATGGGTTCTTACATGATCCTGCTGCTGTTAGTTGCCTTGTCGGCGGGCGGCGGCACGGCGGCCGAGACGAGCGACGATTGCACCACCGTGATAATGAGCATGTCGCCGTGCCTCAACTACATCACGGGCAACTCTTCGTCTTCGTCCCCATCTGCTGGCTGTTGCGTGCAGCTGAGCACCGTGGTGCGGAACAACCCCCGGTGCCTGTGCCAGGTCTTGGCCGGCGGCAGTTCCGCGCTCGGACTAAACATCAACCAGACTCAGGCTCTCGCCCTCCCCGCTTCTTGCAATGTCCAGACTCCCTCCGTGAACCGTTGTGCTGGCGGTAAGAATGTAAAACCTTTTCTGGACCCGCAGCAAAAAACTTGAACTTTTGATTGATTTGATTTCTTCACAGTTTTTGGATCAAACCCTTGTTGATCTAGAAGCCACGAGTTTGAATCTCACACTCACCCACTTTAAAAACAATAGATTAGTACGAAGTACATTAATGTGTGCATGCATGCAGTTGGCTCCCCTTCTGGATCTCCACCCGGGACGACATCAAGTTCTCGAAATTCATCCCGTTCAGGTGCGTGCGTGCGGTATTTTATGCACATATATCGAAGTGATCGACTAAGCTTGTTGAAACTATATATGTTCAAAGAAGCAGTACGTAATGGTTTAAAATAATACATAAATTGAACTTCATTTCGAGCCAAATTAGAATTAACTAACACTCTGGAGCTATATATGTTTGTAGGGGGAGGATCGTCGTCTTCAAAGTCTACACCGTCGGGTGCGACGATGACTTCAATCAAGTTGACGAGAAGTCCGTTGATCGTAGCCATTCCTCTGCTTGCATCTTATGTTTCCACATTCGTGGGATAGATAGACGATTGGTTTAATTTGTGTATTTCTATTCTTTGTGTCTAATTGCCTCAATATGGTTGAGTACCTTTTAGTTGCAGCACTCTTTTTATTTATACAACATTTCTTTTCTTAATACAGAAACGACGTATTGTATTTGTACTCTTATTTGAAATGTCCTGTCCGGGTTTAATAGTTTATTGAATGTCAAAAATTAAATGCCCAATCACTAAGTTACTATTTTGTCTTAAAAGAATGTTACTATATCTACAAAACAAACTTGCAATTCTTCTCTTTCCTTAAAAAAAAATTAGATATGGGACTCAGAATGATCCCTTTTTCCAAACAAATATCTTTCGCATTTTTCATTGTTTTTCATGAAGAATTGAACAATGAAATTCGACCATATGCCAAAAAAACTTGCACCAATGCTAAGGGGAGACTACTCTAGCGGGGCTATTTGAACCCCAAAAAAAAAAATCATAAATAGAAGAGTAGCGAACATACGACTAATTTAGAGAAGGATTTATCCTGAGCAACAAAAATGCTATATACAGAAAATGAACAGCATTACATTTTGGACGAGGAGGTTAAACTCGTCCCCATTCCACATGAGTTGGTCCAATATGCTTTCAGAAACAAGAAAATTAATTAAAGACTTTTAAGACTATTCCTACACCAATATTAGCTAACTTCACACGAAAGGAATGGCACCTGATGTCGGGTTATTGCCCCAGACGATTGATCACAGCCAGCTTTTGGACAGCTCAACTTCGAACCCGAGGTCTTTTCCGGGTAGTTTAATGTGCAAGAGCGCAGCTTAGAACACTACTTGCCCACACGGAATAGATTGTTCAAGTTACAATGTTTTATATCAGGTGCCATCATCATGTTGGCATGGGACCCACACAATCAGTCTCCACACATTTGAATTCAGCGTTTGCCTGGATAGCAAAAAAGAAAAACATCAAACTTTGACCAATACGGGACAGAGATCCATGTCAATGTTGATACAGCAGATAGTTGTAACTTGAGCTTAAAGAGTTACTTCTACAAATAAACCAAGCTAGCCCTAACCCACTGTTAAGCGCCTCATATCACATAACATAAATTGGAACCTTGACGCGCCACTATTAAAGGCCTATGTTGTAATAACTGGTTTTTGAGGGGGAAAGAAATCCTGTACTATGGTGAAAAGTCGCTATTGGTCTAGCCTTGGGCCCGGGCAGATCAGTCAAGTGAGCAAGATGAATTGGTTGTACTGCAATTTGTAATTTGTTGATACCAGTTCAAAGGGGTTTTACAGTTTCAGCTGAAACTGTGGCTTGATGGAAAGCAGGTGACTGACAGCATACTTTTACATTGAAAGTGGAAACCCAAAAAGGTAAAAACCACAGACCTTCTGGTTAATAGCTTTCAATGGTTGATGCAGAATTGCAGCAGACCATTGAGTGGGCTAAATTGAAACAAAACAGAGCGGTCAACTGGCAACAATCAGCAGTCGAATGGTATGACTAATTTATATACTCTAGTTGTGGATGTTGGCTAGCATGCCAAGTCAGTGATGTTTGGATGGAAGTTAAAGGGTTCATCCTCCACTAAAGGCAAGCTAGCTTTGTATTTATGGAGAATAATCTAAACATAAATTTGGAGCTGTATGGCGTCAGAGCTTAGTGTCTAGCATGGTTAAGCGCAGATCAAGTAGCAAGTTTAGAGTCAAGTGGTGTGTCCTGGGGTTGTCCACATCGCATGCCTGCTTTCAACCATTCCGGTAGCGGGCCTGAGAAAACCAGTGTTTGGCATGTCCTACATGGGGCCCTGGCTCAGTCCCCGAGACATACACAATCTGGGCCGGACATGGGGGTCTACGAGCCAAAAAGGCCAGACCGGTAATATCGCCCACCACGGTAAAGAACCACATTATGGAAAAGCTGAACATAAGTAGCATCTAGGTATCATCTTATTTGCACGAAAAAAAACAAAATAAACATAAAAAGGAGATGGTTATAAGAGAGTTTAGATTAATAAATTCATGTAATAGGAAATTATGCAGATCTTTGACTATAGATTAAAAAATAGGAGAGTTCTGATGGTGTTTTCTAAACTGGATATTATGCAGGTCTTTTACTACATGTTTGTGTCATTGGTTTCACAAAGTCACCGCCTTCCTGATGCATTTTAACTTGAAATGCATCACGAAGATTTTTATACATTAAATTTACCTAGCACAATACTGAATTTGAAAGTCCTCAACGTGATCGAGACTGCATAAATTCTTCAAGCTTGTCCCAGACCTCAAGGGCTGCTGCTCTGTCCTGGTGTCGCTTATTCTTACTAATCTGAACACCAAAAATTGATGCTTACACGAGAAACTAACAAAGCATTGAAATCAAGATGAACTAGTAGTCCCTTATATATATTATAGACGAGATAGATAACATCGTAACAAGTACAACAAGCTCAACAGAAAGTTTTGTCTACCGAAATAATCTTGACATTCCACTGCTTCACCGTCTTTGCAGATTCCACGCTGTCATCCTCAAAGCGTAAGTAGAAACCAATAACTGCAACCAAATGAATGATTAAAATGAATGAAATAATTATCTGATGCAAACATGAAACATGAGCTCTAGAGTATGAACTCAAAAACTATGATACACACAATACTTCTATCGTAAAGTCACATTTTTAAAAAATCTAGAGCAAATAAGATGCGGTTCTAGAAAAATCCATTTTGGCTATCTAGAATCACATGCGGGAAGGTAATTTGAGCCTGTGTCATGATAAACTAAAGTGCATACTGGACCTGCAAGCCATCAGAACTTACTCTTGTTGAAGATTTCAACATGATCCTTAAAAGGCCAACTTTTGAACTGCCAATCCTTCCCCAGGACAAAAACAGCAACCACCCGATCCCAGTCATCAGTCTTCAATGCAGATGGCTTGTCCCTGACCTCATAGGCTGTAACAACCCGATCTCTACTGATCTTCTTCCGCACAGTCACACAATCCGGCTTTTGACCATTCATCTGCTTCAACTTCACATCAGTTGGAATGTACACCCCATCCTCCAGAAACTCTTTCACATTGTAAATAGTAATCAAAGTAGAACATGCACTGGGAACCAGAATGATTGGGACTCCCTCCCCAACCTTACCCCCCTTATAATGCATGGCTGCCTTCGCAGTTCCATCATAACCCATATCCTCACCACCCACGTACCCAATCCCTCTCTCCAACCTACTTTTCGCCACCAATCCATCCTTCCTCTGCAAAGCCTCCTCCCTCTGCCTCTCCTCATCCCTCCGCACAGCTGCAGTAAATACGGAATAGAAATCCCGGTTCCTACACAGCAAGATTGACTCCCGATCCTTCAAAGGCTTCTCGATAGCTCGAATCATTTCGATAGGGTTTTGGATGTGGTCATCCAAAACCCAGGAATCAGGCAAATTGTTAGCCTCGGCATATGCAGTGTGGCTGTTCTCAGCCGCAGCGCCAGCCACTGGAGGAGCCGCAGGAGCAGAACCCGTTTCGTACTTGATGAACTCGATGGAATCGGAAGAAGATATTTTTCCGGTGAGGTAATCGACCAGGGGTTTGCGGTCGGGGAGGGTGACGGGATGGATCCTATTTGAGCGGGCGTGCTGGATGTAGTCGGTGTGCTTGACCTGGGTGTTGGTGATGAAGTGGACTAGGGTTTCGAGAGTATACCGATTCCCCTGCTTGGAGCGGTAGCCGGTCTCTATTGCGCAGGGGAATGAGTAGTCATTCCCGAACCGGAACTCGTCTCCTACTCGGGAGATCCGATCGAGCTCGTTCCGGATTGTGTACTCGCGGAGGAGCATTAGCGGATCCATGGCGGAGCTGAGCTCTGTGTGGTTGCCTGAGATTGGGAGGGAGATCTCAAACCTCAGCTCGTCAGTCGGCTGGTGCGGATTTATTGTATACTCCGGAGTACTGCTTAATTAAATTCCAATTCCCTTCTATTATCAAATATTACCCTCGTAATCCTTTTTTTAAAGTGTCTTTCTACAAATGGTCCTTTTTTCGATCTTCTGTCATGTTAGTATTAATTTAAAGGCTAAAAATATAATTTGATATCAGCATTATGTCTAGTGACAATGACTATGATTGTGGGCTAGGATTCTGACGAAAGACCACACTTGTAGACTATGATTGTAGAAGAAAGCGGCTGTAATTCACAAACGACGCAAACGGCATTGCCTTTGGAATTGTGTATGGCAAAAAAGATATATTATCATTGTGAAATTACACTTTTAGCCTTCAAGTTAACACCAACAAGATAAAAAAAGGATTTTTTGTGAAAAATACCCATAAAAAAGGATCACTGGGATAATATTTGATAATAGAGTACTAAATAAGGAAACCTTCCTATTATAAAGGACCAATTATGGAATTTATTCTTCTTTTCGCACACCCCAATGACACCATGGGCAATTGGGCACCCACACCACCATTTATATCTTACTTCCTTTTCCATTTTTTTCTATTTTCACCGAAATATTTCTTTTTTGATTATATTACTAATATATAGAAATAATATTATTGCAATATCATATTTTTATATTGCATTGATATAATAAATTATTTAGATGATTTATTTTTCTTTTTTTGACACTAATAATTTAATTGAAAATTAAATTACAAAAATAAATCTTAAAAAATTATAACATTAACTTTTTTGATAAACGGATGGAGTAAAAAATATTAGAAGCTTGCCAAGTTAGACATTACAAATTTGATATTAAGGGTCTGTTCTTTTGGATTAAAAAATTATTTTTTAACTTTTTTCAATGCCTTATAATTTTTTAAAATTTTTTCTAGATTTTCTTAATTTCTATCAGTTTCTTCCAATAATTTTTTTTAAAAAATTTATATATGATAAATACATAATAATATCATGTATCCGAATTCATAACAAATACCTCAAACACAAACAAATATAAATACTTTTCTTAGATTTGTTATCATGTCCGGGTGCATAATAAGGCAAGATTAAAAATAAAAGATTTGGATTACTCTATTAGAGCATCTCCAAACCCAAGTGCTTCTCATAAGATCTTGCTAAATCATCTGCTGATTCTAAGAACTCATGCATTGTGCAGTGGTTGGTGACATGGATTGCTTCCTAAAGCATCAATGCTTCCCTTGAAAAATTATTCTTATGCATTAATGAAGATGTCCTCGGTTTAAATATTAAAAAAGAGTAATGTTATAGTCGCAAAGAAATCACAAAATTCACAAATTTGCTAAATATGTATAGTAATGATCTCAAATAATTAAAAATTAAAAACCTAAATACATAAATGGTTAGAATTAATGTGAGGAAAAACACTCATTGGATCACTAATACTCTTTGTATTAATATATTTTTGAATTTATACAGGGAAAAAAATTATAGATTTATAAAAATACATGAAACTTAGATTGTTTATATTTGACCTTTAAATAATATGCCAAATAAAAATCAAGATCCACATTGTAGAATCGGAAAAAAAAATCGCCCGAACTCTTGCGTGGCACGGGTAGAAATACTAGTTTAATTTTAAGCAATGCCTTTGAGAGTTTGAGGTATTAACGAGTGACATGAATATTTTAACTAATAAAAAGATATTACAGAAAATAAGCTAAGAACAAAAGATCAATTTGTTCAATGACAATGCTCAATAGTAAATAGACATCATCACACACACAATGTTGTTTTTTTAAGGTTACAATCATTTCATAATCGCAGACATAATGTTTTTTTAAGAGAAACTCTCATGCTAACAAAAGGTAGCATCTCAGGGACAGAAATGATGCCAGCCATATGCCATTCTAGAAACAAAAGGACTGGTTCATTGGCAGCTAGGCTTGGGAGGCCTCCTTGTGATGCATCAGATGCCTGCGCCGAGACCGTCTGTGACTTCTACCATGCTTCTGATGCGGTGTGGGCGTTGGAGCAAGGGACGGGCGAGAGATCTCGTCAACATTGTTATCTAGAGGCCCGAAGATAGAGTCGAAGAATGGGTGTGATGTTGCGTGATCACCGCCGGTCCGCATCTGTAACATTGAAGCATGTAAACCCATTGAGATGAAGGCCTTGTTTGGGAATAACGTTTTCGATTAGCGTTAACGTTTTGGATAAAATTTTAATGATGTAGACCAATTCCAAAAACGCTAAAGCTAAAGGCTACTGTCGGATAGCCTCTTCAAAACGCTAACGCTAATCTCTAATGCTGATGCCAAACAGTGCCGAAGAACAAGAGAATAGAGTATTATGCAAGGTCCAACCAGCTATGGACATAGGGTTGGTAGCATCAAAATGGCAAGCACATTACTTGCTAGGTAACATCACTACCCTTTTCATGCATGTTCTATCTTAACAAAAACATAAATTAATACCGTATATAAGCCAAAAATAGCTCCAATCCCCCCCCCGTAGTTTGGAAAATAAACGCCAATAATGCCCCCTCTATTTTCAAAAATCATTTCTAAATTTCCTATGGTTAGAGGTATCGAAGCCCAATACCTATTTTCCATTCATTTTTAGGTTTTTTTTAAAAAAATTGTCGTTAGAATGTTTTTGAAAGTCAAAATTGTTTGTGTTTGAAATAAAAAAATAAATGAAATGAAAAAATTAGCATATACTTCATCCATATTGACTAAAACATTTTCATTTTTTTATAAAATAAAAAAGAAAAACTTTTTTTAGATGTCTAAAATAGAAAATGAGGAGTATGAAAAGAAAATAATATAAAAGAAAAACACACGATTTTCAAAAAAAAATAGATGTCCCAAAAAGGGGTTTCTTTTTAAATTTAAAAATAAAAAGAGGATTTTTATTAAAAAATAGAATTTGTTGGGTGTCTGTATAAAAAAATATCCTTATTCTTTTAATTCCTTTATGTCTTCCTGAAAGAATGTTATCCAAAAGAGTGTTTTGTACAAGGGCCTTATCAGCCCACTTCAACAAGAGTATTATTTATTTTTTTTCATTTCTGTTTTCCATTTGTTTCTCTTTTATTTTATTCCATTTTTCTATTTTTTATTTTCTTTTTATTTTTGAAACCAAATACATTTTTTAAGTTGAGACAAATGAAGTATATGATAATTTACAAACACAAACAATTTTAAAATTTTAAAACATTATAAAGAATCATTTTAAAAAAGAAATTAAACACTAAATGGAAATAGGATATTGGGCTTTGATATCCTTGTGGTTTGGTATATAGGCACCAATGCCCCCTCTTCACCGGAAAAGTGAACGGAAAATAGTCGGGGTGGGTGCCTGCTCAATATTTTGAACCCATAGAAATTTTAGAAATAAGTTTTTATTTTTGAAATCAATGGGGCATTGGTGCCAATTTCCAAACCACAGGGGCCATAGGAGCTATTTGGCCCATATATAAAGAAAAGTTGTTGCTAAATCCACTCCTCATTTGGCTAGATCCACCCTTTTTTATACTAAATGGACATGTTTATCCTTAGTGCTTAGGAAAGGGAAAGAAGGAAGTGAAAGGACAAAGTTGTCAATTTCTTATAAATGGAGAGGATTTAGTAAAATAAGGAGTGCATTTAGCACCACTCATAAAGAAAATACTAAAAAAATAATGATGCTTAGATCCATGGAAGAGTTTTAAAGGCAAGACTCAGGCTGACCTCATTCTCAAGATCAGGCTTCTTTTGCATTTTTCTTTTAGAAGCAAAAGAATCTCCTCCGACATTAGCTTTTTTCACGGGGTTTCCCTCGGAATTAGTTATTGCATCCTCATAGGGATCACCTTCTGCCTTCTGGAAATTATCAAAATTACCACCATAGGAATTCCTCAAGCGCCACCTTTGTTCTGGCTTGTCTGATAATGATTCATCATACACATTTTCACAGATGAAATGCTTGGAAAAATGTTTCATTGCCCTTTCATTTGGGAGGCTTTTCAGTATTCTGTAGCATTTAAACACTAAATTGGTTCAATGGAGGAAGATAAAAATAGAACATAAGTCACGGATGAAAGTCAAAGAAAATAGAGATATGCTATTAAAAAAAAAAAGAGTTCGGAAAGAGCATACCCGTCAGCTACTACTCTTTGCAGATAAGTTCCATTTAGTGAGAGACTCTGTTCGACAAGTGATAAAGTAGCCTTGCGCCATCTCCAAGAGCCGCAAGAGATGCCAGCACCTACAAAAATATATTTAACATTAATATGCTACTTCCAAATAAACCTTCAAAGAAGGCAGCAAAGCATCTTTGAAATCTCTATCACGTGACTTTTCAAAAGTTAATATACAAAATTTATACATAATAGATATGTCAGGGTTGGGGAGGGGAAGGCATGTACATTACAATAATACATAGATGTAGCCATAGCCTCATTGATCCTGTCTATCCACTCATTTGTATGAAAACTTTAGGGCCAATGGCCACTATAGCTGGAAAGTAAAAAGTAAAAACTACTCCCTCTGTCACAAAAAAAAAGGTTCCACATTTCTTTTTTCATCTGTCCCAAAAAAGGTTTCCTTCTCCACTTTTGGAAACAATTTTGTGGCCTTTATAATTTCTCTCTTCTGCATCACTTTCAACCACACAATTTTAGTTTTCTTAATCTCTGTGCCAAGTCAAAGGTGGAACTTTTTTATGGGACGGAGGGAGTAAAAGAATAGGTGTCTATGTAGCACCGAAATAAAAAATAATAGTAAAACAAGACACTAGAAATTAGAAAATGACATTCAAAAAAGGGGAAATTCCAACAATCAAACTTTTCAAAAGATTACACAAATTCTGCCAAGGTGAGTCCATTTTTCATTATCTTAAGCTTTTGGAAAAGCTATCCAATGGTATCCTTTAGCTCTAGCAGTTTAAGTTTATCCTAAAATATTATCCAAAACTCTAATGCTTTTTGCAAATGCTTTTTCCCAAACATGCCCAAAGCCTTGAAATTGTAGAGAAGGTGGAATGTAACAAAACAGATTCTTTCAAACTGACAAAAGGCTTCAAAATTCAGAACTTAGAAAAGCACACTGCTTTTTATATTACATGTTGCAAGGCCAACTCGGGATATAGTACTTAGCCTTCCTGTAACTGCAGAAAAAATTGAAAATGACTTAGTTAGACGCTTCACAAATTGAATTGCACTCTTGCACAAAGTGCACTTGGAGTGAAATACAATGAAGTAAAATAGTCACGCAGAGGACAATGCTAGAACAAAAGATGTTTGTGATTTTGCTAGAACTTAGAAAGATATGTACATGGCTCGGCTAAATGTGAACTTACCTTGTCTGCCTAAAGTTCTAGTCTTTATATCCATTAATCAGTTTCTTAGAAAGAAAAAAGAGCAGAGGGCATCGCATATAGAGAATAAACATTACAAAAAATTTAACTATGCAAAGTACCTAAGGGGTCATTAAAATTAAACAATCAAAAGCAACTGAAATTGAATAATGAATAGATCCTATCACTTTCTGACACAAAGATGGATTCTAGTCATAGACCCAACCTCGGAACTAAAACAAACAAGCATCAACAAATCACATATGTAGAGAGAAAGGAATAAGTAAATTCAATCTTAACTTGAAAAAATTGACAAAAGTTTCCTACATTGATTTATTATTATATATAGTACAATATACCTAGCCAAGTGATAACCGAACCAGTACCGATGCCCGTTATCAAAGCCCTTCTAGTGTTTTTCCTCCAGGAATATACTATACCAAGTTCTTCCTTTGTAAAGGGAACCTACAATGCGATTTACAGTCAAATGACTTTATCTTATACCCAACCTCCGAGAAAGAGATGATTAAACATATAAATTTGAAAACCTAATCAACAAAAGCGTTGATCAACACAGATACCCAGGAAAACAAACGCATAAACCAAATCCAGAAATGGAAGAAGGCGCTCAAACAGATCTCAATTTATGCAGAATTCAATTTTAACTGAGCTTAGTGAAAAAAGAGAACATGGCCGATTGACCTTACTGAGACGGAGGACTTCATCAGCTTCTGAGAGCGACATCGTTTAAGCTTCGGCAGTTCTTTTTGATGTGGCAGCGTTCAACTGCGAGAATGATCGATCACCTTAACCCTTCTAGCCTGGGGGGCTTCACGGACGGGTGAGCATGGTAGGTATGGTACCCCTTCAAGCACGGGAAGCATGGTACCAAATATTTTAGTTAGATAGGAGATTTTATGTTGTACCGATTTTGATCTCGAAATTTTGGTTCAGTATAGTTCAGAATTGTTCAGTATCGGTTTTGAGATAAATCGAAAGGAAAAAACGCACCTAATTTAAACTTTAGAATGTCACAAAAATATTTATTTTTGTATAAATTGAAAGTATATTTAAACAAAAAAATGAAAACAAAAAAAATAAAAATTAAATGCAACAAATACTTATTAAATTTAGTTTATATTTTACAAACTAGATTGAGCGGATGGTAACAAAAGGATATTTTAAACGTGTGTTTCTATTTTAAAATTTTACTACCAAAAATTAAAGCTCAAATAAAAGTACAATGTACACTTAATAAAATTTGAACCAAATTTTAAAAATAAACTTATTATTCAATAACAAATATAAAAAGATTATTATATTTATAATATATTAATACATATATATTCGGTTCAGAATTTTTCGGTATAGGAAGTTACCTCGTACCGTTTCCAAATACTGAATCAAACATTCGGTTCGATACAATTGGGTATGTTTGTTGTATTATTTCGGTTTGGTATTTTTTGTTCGATTTTCTCAGATTTTCGGTATCGATTCGGTACTTGTAAACACACTATAACGGAATATGGGTTGGGAAAGGATATCAATTTTAAAATCTAAATTGAAACTCTTTGGAGAGATCAAAATTACGTGGGCAGCAGCCGGTGGGCGAAAATAAATGGTCGACGGTGGCCAACGTGGGTGCGTTGAGGGTGGTGGCGGATTGGAGTATTACTCACTTTTTTCTTTTATAAAAAAAGAGAGAGATATTTAAAGAAATTCATGTTTTTTATTTTCAGAATAAGAGATAATTCTAACTATGTTAATTTCTAATACCAAAAAATACGGAGAGATAATGTAATAATGCAAACTCTTACTTTAAAAATAAAGACATAAGCCCAATTTACTCTCTACGTCCCACAATGGATACTACTCCGCGAATAAAGTGTTAAATCTAATAAGTTTTAAAATTATTTCAACTATAAATTAGTATAGAAATAAAAAATAACAAATTACATCGTTGAAAAGTACATTTAAAGTTCTACAAAACAACAAATGACAAAAATATTTTATTTTATCAAATGATCAAGGAAAATATGCATATAAAGAAAAGTTATGAAGAGACTCTAATAGTGGCAGAGGCATCCATTTCGGGACAAAGAGAGTATATTTTAAATATACTTTTTTCTAATACAGAATACTTCTTCAGTCCCAGTATATTATTCCTTCAATTTAACTTTTTAGTGTCAGTGTGGATGACCTTGAAACCAAATTAAATAAAATTGTAATTTGTAATAATGTATATTGGCATATGAATCATTTCATTAAATTTAATTTGTTGAGAACTTTCAAATTTTATTTTATTTTATTATATTAATATGTAATACAAATAAAAAATAATTAATGATTAAATTTTATTCAATTTGACTCTAAAAAGTCAAATTGAATAAATACACTATGACGAAGAGGGTAATTTATTATTATAGAGAATTATAGTTAAACTAAATAAATCAAGGCAGTAAATCAAGACAGACCATTTTGGAGAGATGCCATCGGGAGATAAAATCAGATTTCATTTACACCTCATCGAACACCTATAAAAGATTCTGATACCGAAAGTTATAACTCAAGTAATTCAAATTGGATTTTAAGATATCAACCACGAGTTGGTATAAAGAAAACCCTTTAAATAGGAGTAAATCATTAGACATATCCTCTAAATAGGAGTCCCTAACTTATATACTCAAAGTAGGAGCAATCTATCCAACTGGCATTCATCTCCCCCTTTCTGACCCCTTCCCGGTGGTTCAACTTGCTCTTTCTTTTCTTACACCAGCTTCCCACCACCATCATCAAACTTTTAGCAATTGCAAAATGAAGTAAGTCAAATTGGTTCAATTACTTCAACACAATTTTTCTCTCTCTAAAAGAAGGCCAAGCTCCCATCAATCGAGGAGAGTCTCCAAACCATTTTTAAAAAATTGATCAGTCGTCTTCTTCTTCATGCTTCAATTAATTTTTTTCTTGTTTTTCAATTTGTAAATCTACTTCCAATCCCTTATCCTTAGTTTAGCTTCCTCACATGTCCACCACTTTCTCCTTGATCTATCACCGCCCAACTCATGTTTGGGCTTCTGGTGATTCTGACACAATTTAATCAGTGACCTTTGTAGTTTCGATGGTCTCATAGGGCCGCTCATATGTTTAATTTCATTGTTATCATTAAATTGCAGATTTGAGATGTTAGAATTTTTTAACATTAATTTTGACTTTTTCATTGTTGCAACTACAGTATGAATTGTGGCATTGTATGTAGGCAAATCAGTCTTTCTTGGCATTTTATTTCCTTTTGGACATTATATATTGATATTTTTTGGCATTGTGCGGTAACACATTTGTCATTTTGCAGTGTCATATTTGTCATTGCAGTTTCGTCTAGCATTGTATTGAGAGCACTGTGGCACCATGTCACTGCAACGACGATAGTGACTGACCTTGGTGGTGTTTGTGGCAACAACAACGTAGATGGCAGAAAGCAATGGCATCGAAAGACTTTGATGGTGGAGTGGCACAACATATATGGCGGCGGCAATAAAGACATCACTATGATTTTATGTTGTGTTATCTGTTGTCATTTTTGGAATTATGTCCTTATTTGACATCGCGAGAGGGAGATGGAGGTGGAGCAAGTTGTGGGGTGCAACGACACAACAAAGCTAAGAGGGCGGGGGTGGTAGCGGTGATGGTACTTTTAATGAAGAAGATAAATTGTAATGGAATTAAAGATAGTATGCGGGTAGTAGCAAAAAATTGCTGTTGGGTACCCTCAATTTTGTGATAAGAACTCGCAGATGCCATTATTTTTCAAAATATACTCCGAGGTACCTTAAAATATTCAAAAAGTCGCTCCGAGGTGACAATCCGTCAACCTCTCCGTCAAACTCAATATGCCGTTATCTTTTTCATCATCATCACCACACCTTTCCATCTTCTTCTTCACATTTCGTCTTCTTCTCCAGCCCCCCATCCATCCCCTTTTCTTTTTTTTTTTTTGGTTTTGTTTTGAATTCTACGCCATCTCATCCCCTTTTTTGCTTCTTCATTTTCTTTTTTCTATTATTATTATTTTATTATTTATTATTATTATTATTATCTTTATTTATTTTTTATTATTAAATTTAACTAGTAATTTTACTCCTCTAATGTTTTAGCAAAATAGCACTAAAGCCCCTGAAAAAATGTTTGTATGCCCCCATGAACCTTTTCTAATCTTCAGTTGCATAAAAAAGTTATGTACTCCGTATAATTTATAAAATTAAGATTATTTATCATCTTGGTTATAAATTACATGTCGTAATTCATAATAATAATATCAAATTCAACACTATTTTTACCGTCTCATCATAATATTTTTAGAAAAATCCAGAGATGCTTACTTGTCCTATTATAGCCCCATGTCCTCTCATTTTCTAGATTCACCACTATTAATGGTGACTGTCGATGACTAATGCGCGACTAATGCGGAAGACAACATCAGATGGCTGCAAAACTATAGTTGTGAAAACTACTAATAATTTTTTTTGAAAAGCCAATAGTAAGTGTTGTTTTAAATAATAAATGCTTTTTTCTAAATAATAATTAGTTTTTTTTCTTACAAAAGGAGTAATAAAACAACTAACTAATTTTTAATAATAATAAAAATAATAATTAATAAATAATAATAGTATAGAAGAAGAAGAAAACTATAAGAAATGAATAATGATTAATAATAAGTAATTTTATTTTTATAAAAAGTAACGGTAGTAAAATTACTAATTATTTCTTTATAATAGTATTAATAATAATAAGTTTTATGTTTTTAATAATAGGTGCTATTTTACTAAATAAAAATCAGTGTTATTTTTTCAAAGAAAAAGAAGTAAAAAAATTAATTTTGAATAATATTATTAATAATAATAAATAATAAATAAACATAATGATTAACAATAATAATAAAATAAGAAGAAAATAATAATTAATGTCAAGTAATAATAATAAGTACTGCAATTCTTCTAAAAAGAATAGAGTAGTAAAACTACTCATCAATTCTTTAACAATAATAATAATAATACTTAATAAGAAATTTATAACACTGATTGTTATTTAGAAAAATAGCACTTATTATTTTAAAAAAACACATATTATTATTAATACAATTGAAGTAGTAAAACTACAAATTAAATAATAATAATAATAATAATAATAATAATAATAATAATAAATAATAAATAATGATAATAAAATAACAAATAATAATATGATAGTAATAGAAGATAAGAAAAATGAAGAAGCAAAAAAGGGGATAGGATGGCGTAGATTTCAAAACAAAAAAAAGTAAAGAAGAAAAATAGAGGGGTGGGTGGCTGGAGAAGAAGACGAAAGAAGAAGAAGCAGATGGAAAGATGGTGGTGATGATAATGAAAAAGATAACGGCAAATTGGATTTGACGGAGAGATTCACGGATTGTCACCCCGTAGTGATTTTTTGAATATTTTAAGGTACCTCGGAGTATATTTTGAAAAATAATGGGACCTGCGAGTTCTTATACCAAAACTAGGGGTACCCGACAGCAATTTTTTGGTGTAGTAGTGCTGATGCTTTTAACTCCTATTTTTGGGATTTATCTTTTAACTCCTATTTTAGGATTTTATCAATTTTTTTACTCCTATTCATTTCGAAATACGTAGTACTCATTCTGGCAAAAGGTAGTACTCATTTTAAAATAAAGAAGTACTCATTTTTACACATTTGTCTAATATAATTATAATAAATAGCGTAGTGTTCATTCTTTAAAAAACAATACTCATTCTCAAATAAGGAAAAGTTCATTCTGAAACAAAGTATTGTTCAATTTTTTCACAATTAAAAAGTTCAGTATCATCATCAACTTCTTCCTCTATTCAATTCATTCCTACTCATTTATACTCTCTGAGTATGGAGAATTTAAAACCCAGGTTTATTCATGTTTGTATTGAATAAGAATATGGTACTCGTTTTCAAATCTACTAGTACTCATTGTCATATATAATAGTTATCATACATATGTTCTGGGCATTGGAAAAAAAGTTTGTAAAATTTACAAAAATACCAAGATGTACCTAAAGGAAGGTACAGCTGGATGTACCATATAATTTGCCTATCAACCACGGGTGAGCGCATTCTATGACAGTTTAGGATTTTCATAAAACATGTACCGGTCCCTTTACTATGTAAACAATTCGGTACAGTTAAGTTTTACAACTAAAACTATTTGGTACCGTAACACTCATGGTTAGAGATGAGCAAAAAGACCGAATCAGTTAGACCGGTTCAGACCCTTGAAAAACTGGTTTAGAACGAGATTGGTCTGGTGTTTTTTTAAAATCGGTCTAGATTAGTCTGATTTTCATGAAAAAAAATAGGGATCATTGGTACTGGGTAGTCCCGTTAGGACCGGTCCGGTCCTTAATATGTCAAATTCTAAATCTTTTGTTCTTTAATTAAATACTCAAAAAATCTTATTTTTAAATTATTTAATTTCTTTTTTCCATACTTTGTTGATTTATTTTTTAATTGAAAGATACTTTGTTGATATATAATAATTCTGTAACATGAATATCTTAATGTGAGATGAGAGTTGGAAAGAATCAACGAAAAAATAAATTTTAATATGTAATTATACGGGGTGAGTGCTTCTTTGGTGCGCCTTGGGTGCATATCATTTTTGAGGATCTTCTCACATAAAATTTTTTTTTATTTTTATTTTAAAAAAATATTGATTTAAGTTGTAAAGAAACATATTTATATAAAATATAAATTTTAAAGTATAAATATACATGAATACAAATTTTATTTCAAATATATTAAATCCCTAATCCTAGTTCGGCCCTAGTTTAGTCTTTCAAAGAAGACTACCTGATTTGGAACCCGTCTGGTCTTTCATAAAAAATCAAAAATCAAATGAGACTACCGATCTAAGACTAGACCGGTTTGAAAGACCACTCCAGTCCCATCTTTTCTTGTCCATCTATCTCGATCAATCTTTTCAGACCTCATCTTTATTGTCATCTCTACTCAATGCAATACCTCGACCCGACCCCAAGCACCCATTAACCTTAAAACATGGGCCTCATATTCTGACCCTCTGTGTATTCTTTCATGGGCTATTCCATCCCTAGGGTATTCATCAATGTTGTTTTTCTGCAGTGTTACATTTTTTGGCATTTTGACCTTATTTTGACCTACGACACTTTGGCTTTGTTTTGATCCCATTTTGGTTTTCGTGAATTATCGTTGGGTGGCAATAGAACGAGCACAACAGACCAGTCAGCTGTGTCGACTGAGTTGGGTGGTACTCCGGTATTTTTTAAGAATGGTAATACACTACTAAAGATGAAAAAAGAGTGCCAGATCAAGTGGATTCTTGAAACTATTAACACAAGCATTACAAGTTAGCAACCATCAACCATAATCAACATCTTAAAGCCCAAAGTTTCACTTACCCAAACCACAAGTAGCTTGAGAGTGTATTTTTACTGCTCAAAACGATGGAGAAGACTGAGATGGCCATCATCCCCTCTCCTATGAAGAGAAGCTGGGAAGCGCGGTTTTATTGTGACAGCAACACCTCAGTTCTGCTCTCAATAGTTACTCTCTTCCTCAAGATCAATTCAATCTTATCCAAATCAGAAACGTTAGCCATATACCCATAGAAGATCCTCTTTTTCTCGCGTGTCACAGGGTCAACCTTAACCAGGCTTGGATGGTCTTCTTCCTCTGGGGATAATGTTAAGGGTTGCACAAGGGCCCAATTGGTTCGCCCGCGGTTGCTACTTTGGAAATACTCTGCCAATCTCATTGCCTCCTTCAACCCGGACCGGTCGCTAGAAAACTTTACGACGGTCATGCCTCGATGGCCACCTTTGTTGAATGCTGCTTTTGATTTACCACCCTTAAACCCTCTTTCTGAAAGCATAAAATTTATGAGTGATATGAGGTTGAGGAATCTATAGATGTCAAAGTCAAACAATAGCGGACGTAAAGGAAGCTCTCAAACTGAACATTTCATGAAATAATGTCTTTTCTGATTAGCACCAGACATGCAACAAGTATTTCTCCAATTGCACATTCATAAATAAGGCTGTCAATTACAAAAAAGAGCTCTATGATAATATATGATGGATCATTGCAACCCAGATTTCCAGTCAGCCTTAGGCTTCACCCTTTTTTCAAAATGAGAAGCAATAAATAAATACTCCCTCCATCCTATATTAATCTTCCCACATTGACTAAAACTCATTTTTAAGAGATTGCATATTTTTACTTTGACTTCCAATTTTGCCCCTCCTTAAAAACTTAAAAAAACTAAGACGGGCAAAGTTTTCTACTGAAGGAGGGCTTTGCACTGGCCAAGGCTATTAAGAAGGAAGCTTTTAACACTGTTGCCGTTGCTTTGCTACTTCCGATGACGAAGCCATCGAGATCCTCAAGGCCCTTTCCAAAGAGGTCAGCAAATGCTTAGCTTGCTCGACGTCGTCGAATCCAGACTGATTCATAATGAAAATTGACTAAAATTAAAGATTGCTCGACGCCGTCGCCGCCGATTCATAATGAAAATGGACTGAATCCATATAAAGGTGGGCCGATGATGATTAGATCTAGGATCTCATGGAAGATGTAAGAGACAGAGAGAAGGCGAGGAGAGAGAGAGAGAGAGAGAGAAAGCTAGGAGGCGGAGACAAAAAGAAGGAGAAGAAGAGATAAGGTGTGTGTGTGTGACTGGTGTGAGAGAGAGAGGGAGAGTGAGCGAAGATGAAAGATGAGGCGGAGACAAAATGGAGGAGAAGAAGAGATAAGGTGAGAGAAAGAAGAGGTGAAGAGATAAAGGTGAAGTGGGTGGCATAAAAGTGAAGTTGGAAAGGTGGTTGGAGGGGTGAATGAATTAGGGGTATTATGGTCATAAGATACACCTTTTTTGTGTGTGGGAAAATAGTTTTAGGACAAGAAAAAAGAGAAAGTGGGAAGATCAATATAGGACGGAGGAAGTAAATAAATAAATAAATGGTTCATGAAAGTACAAAATCATAGCATTTGTGAAAAAGGCTTGGCCAAGCATTTTCGGTCTGAAAATGCTGTTTTTAGTTGATTTCCGTGCGTTAAGTTATAAGTGTTTGTCTGAGCGTTGTGCCAGCCTTTAATATTACTCAAAATGCTAAATACAAAAAAGCTTTATTCGTATCTAGTATCTAGATTTGAGTGCTCTATGTCTTGTTATATTTTTAACACATACCACCTTAGCTGCTAAATTTTTTGCTTTTCAATAATTTGAAATAAAAGAACAGAGTATTTAAGAAACAAGTCCAATTATAATTCTAAACACTTTCAAGCAATAATAACTCAAACAACAATGAATGGAAAACGGTCTTTAAATCACAGTTTTTTTTAAAACAAAAACGATTTGCAGAATACTGCATTTTTTAAACCACAATTTTTTTTAATCCCAAACCACTTGCACAAATACCCTAGTAGTGCATGATATGGTAAGCTGTAAAAAAAAGTGTCTACTGTTGATTGCAAAAGCGTACACATTTTTATCTAGAACTTGTAGTCACATTGACTGCATGTATGAGTCCCACCATGTCCACATCCAAGAGGACCAAGATACAAGAATGCTCCAAAGGATACTCCATTCCTCTATCAAATTAATTGGGCACGTTTTTAATAAACATCTAACGAGAGCCACTTAAAGAGTGGTCAATTCATTAGAAATGAAACGGATGCATGTAAGGAACGTGTTATGAGGTTGTGAGTTACTCCATATGTTAACAAAGGAGTGTCTTTTGGTGGGTTGCTTTGGCATGACTAACATTAAGCAAGTGGGTAACTGGGTATGAAATATGAATATGTTAAGGAAAAGAACTCAAACAACTTGGAAGCTCAGTTCTTCTTTTGATGACTAATAAGATGACAGAAAAAATGTGATTTCATAATACCTGTAAGGTATTGATCCATAAACTTGTTCCCCAAACCCTCAACAGTGCCATCTCCACGCTTTCCTGTTATTGTGTTTTGGATTAACACTAGTGGCGGCCATATGATCAAATCATCCACGTTTGCAGATGCTTCTTTGGCAGAAAACAACTGGTATGACTTTGAGCCACTTGGAGGAATCAAATAGTTCCAGCCCATCAGAACACACAAGGCTTTGTGAAATCCTAAGTGGTCAACTGTGGAGTCAGCATTGTCTGAATGGTATGCATGCATAATTAAGCTGTGCGTATCAGAATAGTATTTTGAATCCCTGTATTTAAAAAAACAGGTGCTTAAGAAAGGTTTGAACTTTGAAGATGTGTGAATGTAAAAGTGAAGCAGAACAGTTGTTCTACTAAAATTGCAATTACTATAGTTGGAAGAAATGTGAAGGCAATAAACACTCTAATCAACAAAGCTAGCGCTTATCCAAAAGTATACTCGGTTTATAATTTTTTCAATCATAGAAGGTATCAGTATGACACCAATGTCAAACCATAATTAGTATCCTTATGCACGACTCCCTTTATTTCTCAAAGACGTTCCATTTGGAACTAACACTATTATTAACAAAGATGAAATTGTGTGCTTGAGATTTATGCAGAGGAAAGAGATATACAATATGAACCACGAATTATTTCCTTACAATGAAAGAAGATCCTTCTTTCGTGACATATGAAAAAGAAATATGGAACCCTTTCAGGGGACAGAGGGAATATGAATGTTGTTCCTCACTTTCACATTATTTTGATGAATAACTAGATATTGTTATAATATAGCTATACAAAAAAGATACTGTTTTATGTACTTATATTGTTATATAACAACCCCAGAACTCAGCTAAATGCCTAGAATGCAATACTTCACAATGTGCCACCAATGCAGTGGTAGCTTGAAATTATTATTAATAAATATTACTTTCTCGTTTCTTAAAATTGGTATGATGAAAACATAGATCTTATTATGCTCATTGGGTTATGATGCAGCATTCAAGTGTCCAGATATGGTAGTTATAGTCATATATAGGATGGTACTTTGATGGGGGAGGGGAGGGGGAAGTCAAACTGTCAGGTGCTGAAGTTTCAGTTGTAAAAAATGATTTTTTACGTTTAACCTTCTAGGCATTAACCATAGATGTTAAACTAACAGCCACAAGGCAGGAATGCTGTCTCAGGTGTTGCATGTTAGTGAAGTGAGTCGGCATATTCATTTTCCCTGATCGAACCAGACCCTAAGTGACTATGATCTCTGAGCACAGTTATTGGCACTTAAGCTGAATCACAAGAAAATAAATGAAGCTAGCACATATGCACAGAACACCAATATTTACGAGATATGCAGTGGGAATCATCAAAATATAGGGACCAAAATTCACTTCCAGACCTGTCACAAACAGTACATCGGACATGCCCTTCCTTTCCATTTGCCAAATAACGGTTTTTCAATTTCGCACATTCATATACAGCCTTAGCGAAATGAAAAAATGCCCTCTTTAAATCATTTTGATCAACCTCGTGGTGCTTAAGAGGGTGTTCATTCTCCTCAGTAGTTCCAACTTCCTCCGGTTCTCTGCCCGTACGCAACCCACTCAAGCCTGGCGAACTACGATCTTCATTCACCGGCTGCAAAAGCTGCTGCCTTTTCTTCCTATACAATCCACCATCATCGGCTTCTCCGTTATCATCCCAAAACTTCCTTGTCATTGGACTTTCATGCCCTTGCACCATAGCATTCCCCCCATCCAAACCCAGTGAATCCCTATAATCATGATCCCGGCTATGTAAAGGCGAATTGCCCTGGAACTTAGAGCGCAAATCCGGAATCAACTGGAACTGCCGATCAAACCCTAGATGCGGACCACGATTTTCCCTGTGTACCAAAGGTGAAAAGTCGTGATAATCTGGGGGTAAAGCGAAGTAGGTCATAACAGTACCATCCGCGAGGACGATCCTCCTGCGTTCCAGCATCTGAAACCCATACGCAGGGGCAGCCGGAGGCGGGTCGGGAAAATGGTGCGAGGGCAGAGCAGAATGCACGCCGTCGTCGGATCTTGGGGACAAGTTAAGGGGTCTAGACGGAGTAGGGGCACTGGGTATTCCGGCTTTCGGAGAGGGTTTGGAATTGGAAGATCGGAAATTGTTTTTATAGCCCCGGCGGAAATTGCGGCGGGATGTTGAGGAAGACGTAGAAGGGAGTTTTCTGTGGCTACCTCCAGTCATGTTTTCTATGCTATGGTGTGCGAATTGTGGGAGCTTAGGGGAGAAACTTTTTCCAAGAGAAGTTCTACAGGCATTAGGAGAAGTGTACCCAAAAAAAATATACCGACATTTTAACGGTTCATACAGAAAGAAAATATTATAGTTTAATTAAAAAAATTTGCAATGACTTTTTTTTCCAATGTAAACCATTACACTAACATAACACTGGCACAAAATATCGGTGTATGCATTTTGGGTACAAAATGAGTACAATTTTTAGTGTACAAATAGTTTAATCCTATCGAAATAGCATATCAACTTTTTTGAATGAAACAACTCACTACACTCGAATCGACATTGGTTCTTAGGCTGTGTTTGGTTGGAGGTAGGTAAAGTTTTATTAGGTAAGTAATGCTAGGTAATTGAAAGTAGGTAATTGAAGGTAGGTAAAGTAGATAGATAAAATAGGGTAAGAAGTTAAAAAATTGTGTTTAGATATTTATTAGATAATGTGAGGTAGATAAAACAATAAAATTACTTAAATACCCATGTGCTCGTTTTTCAAATTTCTTCCTTTTTCCAAACATCGTTGAGTAACATTCACGTACGTTTTGGAGTGATTCAAGAATTGCTTTCAACGTCAGTTCGTCACAAATTTCTCAAAAAGGAACATGTACGCATTATCCAAAATTAAAGCCACTGATTTTGTAAGATATTTTTTATCATTTAATTTCAAAAATAACATAAAAAACATAAAAAAGAAAAAAAAAACATGATCTTTCAAAAAAGAGACAAAAATGAAAATAAAGAGTAAATTCCATAATTGGTCCTTTATAACAAGGGAGTTTCCCTATTTAGTCCTCTATTATCAAATATTACCCAGTGGTCCTTCTTTTATAGGTATCTTTCTAGAAATAGTCTTTTTTTATCTTCTATCATGTTAGTATTAATTTGAGGGCTACAAATGTAAGTTCACAATGAAAATATATATTTTTTGTCATACACAATTCCAAAAGCTATTTTGTTTCCATCGTTTGTGAATTACAGTCGCTTTCGACTACAACCATAGTTTACAAATGTGGTCTTTCGTCAGAATCCTAGCCCACAATCATAGTCATTATTTTTGTGTTATCCGCTTAACTAATATTAGAACACGTCACTAGACATAATGTTGATGTCAAATTATACTTTTAGTCTTTAAATTAATACCAACATGGTATAAGATCAAAAAAAGGACTATTTATGGAAAGACACCCTTTAAAAAAAGGACTACGGGGTTAATGTTTGATAATAGAGGACTAAATAGGGAAACCTCCCTGTTATAAAGGACCAATTATGGAATTTACTCAAAATAAAACTTCCAAAAAATGAAAAACGCCAGAAAAGCACATCAAAAAAATGTCAAAAAATTTAAAAGAAAACAAAAAAAGCTAAAAGAAAACGCCAAAAGAAAATGGAAAAACAAAAACAAAAAAAATCATAAAAAAACATGGAAAAAAGGAAACATGATAAAGAAAAAACAAAGTAGAACTGGTGTCATTTTAGACTTACCGTATATATATATATATATATATATATATATATATATATATATATATATAACTTAAACTTAATAAACATAAAACTGTTTATAAACAAAAAATATTAATAATTTTTTTTAAATTAATAAAGCATAAATCATTGTCACGAAAATAAAAAAACAAATCAAGTATTACGCTAATGAAAAAAAATATAACACATAATATAAACTTTAACTTAATAAGCATAAACCAAACATATGCAAACTTAAAAATAATTGTTTTTGGTATTTAGTTATTGGGGGAAACAACCACAAATTCAAAGATAATCAACTTCAAGATCTTAAATAACTCATGAAACACCACCAAAAATCTGAAAACAAAACTAAAAATAGAACAAACACACAAGTCAAAATAGAACAAACACACAAGTTAAACAATTGCTGAGAATGATCCAAAAACAAGTGATTTATAAAATTGTCAATTATTTTTGAAAATTATATCATTGTATAGACTTTGATTGTTTGAACGCAATGGTGCAATCATATTTTAATTTGGAGAAAATTGAACAAAAAAGTATACCCCGATTAGGACTATTTTAGTCCTAATCAAGGAAGAGCCGTGTAAATCAGCAAAATCACCGCCTAGCCATCGTGAATCAGCATTTACGCAGTAGGCTTGGCTTCTTCCCATCACCAAGGCTATATAAGGAGACTCTAGCATAGGGGTGTAAACGAACCGAATCGAAGCGAATACCGATATATTTGAATTTGTATTTGTTTAATTTTTTCGAATACGAATCCGAATCCGAATATGAGACGAATTCAAAATAAGATTTGAATAAGTATTTGATTAATATTCGAATAGTTATCGAGTCATAAACGAATATTTGAACAATCATACTATGTAATTTATATGATGGACCAACATCAATTTGTAATTTAACTTACGATACTCTTTATACTATATATACTATATTCCGTATATAAAAACATTAATACATTTGCATCTTACACAAATTATATTTTATAAAATATTACTATTAAAAATCATATGCTTTAGATTTTCGTGTGACGTTAATTTATTGAATTCTTAGTATTTTAAATACACTTTATACTATATTACTTTGCTTGACTTTTGATGTTGAAAACATGGTCTGTGTATATATACATATATTCAAATATTCGAATATCATCCGAATCGAATATATCCCTATTTGTATTTGTATTTGATTAATATTCGAATCAAAAATAATATTTGAATTTGAATTTGTATTTGAATAACGCGAATTCGAATCATCATCTTCGAATACAAATCGCGAATCGAATTTAAAATATTTGATTTGTTTACATCCCTACTAGTCTAGCATTATGATTTCTTCACCATTCCTTCATATTTTTTCTTCTATTCTGTTCTTTGTTGTGAGGAAAGTGAAGTGGTGTTGCCCGAAGAGCTTGAGGTCACCTGCCATAGTCTTCGTCAGATGTTTTGCTGGAAAATTTCTAATTCCTTTGTTTAAGCTCGAGGTGAGCCTTTACATATATCTACTGATTAGAATATTCACATAAATCATTTTTACGTTCATAAATGGTCATTTAGTTGATTTTAGTGTTAGACATCGTTGATGAACCAAGAACCATAAACCTTCAAATTCTTGTTAAAACATCAAATTAGTGGTATAAAAATAATCTATGAATGTTAGAGAACATTTTTATATGTTTTAATTGAATTTAATAGCTTAAAAATAGTATATTTGAAATCCATACCGAGGTTGAAGACGACCAGTTGCAGAACGGTCAACCGTCGTGTGGAACTCTCGATCGTTCCTCAAACAGTTGGCATTCTAGTTCGTTACCAGGAACGGTTGACCGCCAACGGTAATGGTCGATCGTTCCAAGCTCAGTTGCACGGAGGCGGTGACGGTTGATCGTAACACGGTAACGATTGAGGGTCACGAGCCATTCCTGTACAGGAAAACTGGATTTTGAAGATGTAAAATCTAATTTTTACTACTATTCAACTATAAATCAGTATGAATATCATTTTCAAACTAAATATGATGTTCTGATAAATTCAAGAACTTTATTCGATACATGACGGGAAGCTATGGTCTTAATACTCGACGCTAGGCCATTGTTTGTTATGATGATGATGATGATTATTTATTAAAAAATCTCCCTCGATAGGAGTAAAACGTATGTCTTTTAAGACCAACACAGGAGTATAACGGTAGTGTGATGTAAGAATACGCGTTGGCAATTTGATGAAAAAGTGATGACAGTGTAATGTAGCGTTGTGATCAGTCAATCTTCGGTGATTTGCAGTGGCACTTTAGTTGTCGGAGGGTGATAGGCTGGCAGTTACAATGTAACAATGTGGTAAATGTGACAGTGTAATAATGATAGTGTGAATTCTTATTTTGATCTTAAAAGACTTATGACTTCTATTTTGATATTTTTATAATTTTTGTACTCTTATCTAGGAAGTTCTCCCTATTTATTATGACCAAATTTTGATAAAATGACAAATATTATGATTAAAAAAAGACTATGAATAATTAAGGCTATCTAGAAAAATTTTAAGATAGACCTCATGTGACTAATTTAGTTACATTGCTGATGTATACATCCAGTGGCTCGGGTTAAAACGTACGTACAGGATCCTCAAACCATTTGGGAATATTCCATCTGGGTTACCACCCAACCCCCTAGTGAGTAGTCTGTTGTTCGGTTCCTGAGCGTGACCAATATGACTCATAGGATAAGTCATGATTTTGTGTTCTTCCTTAGACTAAGAATAGTTTAAAAGCTTTGTGATCAATATGAATTGACCTTAGACTAGGAAAATTTTAAGAGTATTACTGGTATTATAATTTGGTCTTAGACTAAGAATAGTTTAAGAGAATTGTTGATAGCATGAATATTGAAAGATTAATGTACAGGATATGAAATGATTTGATTATGAATTGTGATTCAATTTATGTGAATGTTTGATGCATAAGATATCCTTACTCAACTTTATCGATGAGTGTATAGTATGTTTTATTCACTATACGCAGGTAAACAAAATAAGAAATGATATGACGTTGGTCCTGACAAGAGATGGCGGCGAGATGTCTGACAAACGTGTAATGATTTCTAATTGTTGAATAAATATTTCAAAAATGAATTATTTATATTTTATGATTGTGATGTGAAACAATTATTTTAAGCTCCTGCAAATTTGATAAACTCTGTTATTGTTCTGAATATTTTATATTATGAAATAAAGTTTGAAATGTTTTAAAATTATTATGTTACCAAGTTAATACTTTAGTCTGAAAGGAACTGCAGACTTGGACGGATTATGGTGTTACACAAATATTAAACGTATAATAAGCACGCAGACATTAACTGACAACTCTCTATAAGGCCAAGTTGTATCGTTCAAAGGTCTATTTTGAATAACACTTTGAACCCCAAATCTCCCTATCAAGCGCTCAAACAATGATTCGAAAAGAAAAAACTCTATAAAAGAACAAATTTTTCTTTCATTCTAACTCTCGTGCATAATCTATTCAGAAGCTGCCAACACATTATGCACTTTAATAAACTTTAACAAATAATCAAAAGCTGCCAACACATCTTCAATGTGTTTTTAAAGAATTTTTTGAAGTGCTATACTAATAGGTTAGGGTCATACAAGTGGACAGTGCAGATTACAATTATCTTCTAGATGGATATTGTGAGCATTGTTTTGTTTATTTGATACGAGATGAAGTCATAACCACTTTTTAGACCATTCTGATTAACATGTAGCTTGTCTTTGGTTGCCTTCGACTAAATCAGTGCACTGTTCAATGTTGACCATGATGGCTTAACGCTCTTCAAAGAGTCGTTGCCTTCGACTAAATCTAAGTTGATGAACACATTATTGATTTTAACGTAACAATCGAAGGCAAAGTAGAATACATAATTTGATAAGAACCCACATTTATCATATCAGGAAAATATAACTCAAAACTTAAGATAATCACTCTCATATAATCTAACATGGTTCTCATATGAACAAGTAAGCTAATTAATCCTAGGACCTTTAATTATATTCCTACTTGAACTAGAATATCTCAGCTATCCTAATCCTACTGAGGAATTAGCCAACACACATAACATGGCATCTAATTTGTTAAACAAATACACCCCCCCCCCCAAAAAAAAAACTAATATTTCGCCAACGTTGTCGGGTTGCTAGGTGGTTCATGATGATTGTTGCTTGAGCCCACGATATGTCATGTCGAATGAAGAAAGCAAGTGGGCTGTGTGAACTTGGGTTGTGGTAGAACTAAGTTCCTCAGCCATAGAACTATGTAGCCTGACCACAGGGGGAAGGGGGACACTTTAACCAATTTGTGCTTTCAATTGAAAACAAACCATTGGAGTACCTTTATATTTGTGGCAAGCTCTTTGTAAAAAACGATTGCCCTTGTAAATTCTTCAGTAACTGGATAGTGGAGACCCGGAAGAGAAGTTTCCACTGTGCAGATCATTATGAATGCGTACTGTGGGCCGAGTTTCATTCGGATGCCTGTTCCAGATTATAATGGAAAATGAAAGAGAACAAAGCCGGCTAAATGCAAACTAACCAATCACAGCCACGCCATCAAGCTAGTGGGCATGTGGTGAGCTGGCAATTGACTTTTCATTTGCCAAAAGACTGCACCACGGAGAAAAATTATTATTACAATAATTACAATAACAACAATAATAATACTAACAACAACAATAATAATATTCAGTAATAATATACGGAGTAAGAATGTAAGAGTAGTTGACATCATTCCATGGAAAAATTACTGTACAGGTGATGAGTTTTAAGTTTTAACTGTGGGGGAACCTTTTTCATGGATTCGCCTGCCTGATTAGTCTTTTCTTCACAAAGTTTTGTATTTTCTTCTTTCTTATCATCCCAATATTAATCGACCTGACTGACTTTCCGTTTTGCCCTTCAGTGTAAGATTTAACTGCTCTCTCCCTTTTCTCATCTGGAAGCACTGTGAGCCTTGAAAACTTCTTGGGGGTTTCCAGCCCAAGCCGCTTAATTATGTCCTCGTAAGCTGGAACAAGACCACGTCTCATATAACAACCAGAGATAAGTCGCATCGAATTAGCCTCTGTCGCTGTAGTTGTATTTTTCAACTCCAGATCCAAGCAAAATGGGGAGTCTTTCAGCCACATTCGTAAGGAATGGCCTTTGGCTACCAACACTCCGGTTCGGGTTTTACAAGGGAGAAATGGAGACCCCATCTCCCAAAGGTATGCCTTCAATGTACTATTCAATGAAACCTGGTTGTATTCTGCTGTACCAGTGATTAGTACAACAGATTTTGGGGATTCAGGGAACCCCTTCAGTGAAGCATCCTGCAAGCCAGTATCACATTAAAATAAGTGCATCCAAATTTTGGCTTGTTAAAGAATGCCCAATGCAGTTCATAAATCACAAATTTAGAAACATAACTACAATGGTAAGAAAACTGCAAAGATAACCAATAGAAGGCACATCCAATGTCACTCCTACATCAAGTAGGTTCTGAAGAAAGAATAAAATTTCAAGTTAGTCCATCATATTACTTCCAAGTTTCTAATGTAATTTATGCTTTTAAAATCAAAACTAATGTTGCCTGTGAGGTGTGAATAAACTTTTGAAGCTAACATTCACAAGTAAAAATTTGTAGAGCTGATGAAATTAACTTGCAAACTACAAAATATTCAGAGCTTCTAAATTATTTCATTAGCAAACTTGAAAAGGGGAGACATTGCCTGCATGTAGTCAAGCCATAAAGTTAGGCCAACTAAAGCTGCTCCGGCAGATAATTTTCTGAAATCAGCCCTCCAGTCCTTGTTAGCCACCCTGCCAATAAAATCGCCACTAGTGAAAGACAAAATGAATATAAAAGCAGAATCGATTAAAATATCACATTGCATAGAAGCATTTAATGAAGCTTCGCATGCATGTGAAATTTCAAATATTGAACTGTAAGCAGATAATAATGCAACACCCTATGCATGAGTAAACTATTTAATACACTACCTAAACACATTATGATGAAAAATATTCCTTTTAATTGCCAACTTGAATATCCATGAAGCAGTGGCTCGCCGCTCAAAAGACCACAACAAGTCTTCCAAACCATTGACAAACTTAAATGCAGCATCATGTTCTGTAGATGCAATTTGCTCAAGGTATTGATCTGCCTCCACAGCTAGTGATTCAGAATGGTCTGCCAAAAGCCTAAAAAAAATAATAACATTTCTATTTTATGTAATAATATAAATGTGGAAAGAGCCTGTAGTCTACATGGTCAAAAAATAATAACTATGCTAAGATCAAACCATGCCTTAAAGGAAGATTAAAACCAGCTTCTGCAATAGCAGTTAATAAAATTTTGGCTTCCGTGATATCATCACATAAACTAGCCGCACGAATGAAACAAGCCCATATTCGGTGATCTGGTTCTGTTCCATCTTGAACCATGTCCTTAAGCTTTTGAATGGCGACATTATGATCACCATTCTTAAGATACGCATCAATAACTGAACTATATAGTAACGTGCTAAGACTTGCACCAGTTCTCTTCAAATTATTCAGCACTTCCTCTGCTTCTGTAGGATTGCCTGAGCTCCCATAAGAAGTCATCAGCAAATGCATTGTTGCAGTGGAAGGCTCAATTCCAGATTCCTTCATCTTCAGTATTAATTGTTCAGCTTTAGAACAATTACCACATCTCCTATACATTTTAATCATTATGTGATAGATTGAGCGGTCAAGCCTATGACCCTCTGCTACAAGGCCACCAAAGAGTTCCTCAGCATTTTCCAGCATCAGCTCTTTACAAAAAGCAGCGATTAGACTTTTGTAGGTGCCCATCTCAGGAATCAAATCTTGCAGTCTCATTTCTTTCAGAAGTTTAAGACCCTGTTCAGGACTACAATCCCTACAGTACATAGTTATCAGTATACTGTAAGTTTGTGCATCTGGTTTGAGTCCAGCTTCTTGAATTCGTTGGAATATGTTCACGGTCTTCTTGAAATCTTCACTTTTAGTATATAATTTGAGCACGGAATTCCAAATTGAAATGTCAGGCTTGAACCCTAATTCCTCCATTTCAGAAAGCATGGCTTCAACATCTCTAACTTGTTTTGCACTGGAAAATAGCCCAATCATCACTCTATAAAGCTGCATGGTAGGAAAATACCCAAAAGCCTTCATTCCAAGGTATATTTTCTTAGTTTCATTTAGGTTCCCTGCTTTTGCTAACACATCAAGCATCAAAGTGAAGGAACTCTTACTAACTTTAAAACCCATATCTTTTATTTCCTGCATCACAATGCACAGCTCATTTAATCTGCCACCAATAATCAACGCATGCAAGAGACTGTTGATGGTATCCACTGTAGGTGAGGGACCATCTCTCATCATTGTATTGAAAGCTGCTCTCGCTTTCTCATAGAAGCCACTCAGAGCATACGCTTGTATCAATGCATTCCAAGCTGTTCGGTCCACAACATTAAACCTCTGTCTCAGAGTTCCCATAATATCTTCAGCCTTTTCCAGTAGCTTCAGCTCTCCATAAGCATTGATTAGGCATACATAAATGGAAACATCATCAAGAGGTATGCCTTGCATTTCTGCTTGATTGACCAAGTAATGGCCTGTCTCTGGGAACCCCATTGTCAAGTAGATAGTAGCCATGGTTCTGTAAACATCCCGAGAAGGTTGCAGCCCACTGGCTCTCATGTCAGAAAATATTTGAGAAGCCTCAGCAAATCGTTCAGCTTCCTCACAACATTTGATGAGGTACTCACACGCCGCAACACTGGCATTGCATGTACTACTGTAGTTGCAACTTCTGAAGTACTCCGCCAAAGCAGCATCCAACTGGTTACTCTTGCAGAGTAAGACAATCATTGTATCCCTTAAAAACTTCTGAGAATCTGCAGTATGCTCTTTCACAAAATCTAGCAATTCCATAGCATCCGAGTGCCTCCCAGAGGAGCTATAAAATCCCAGAATAGACAAGAAGTTGTCCTTGTCCAGTTTATGACCTTGTGTTATGGCTAACTTCAATGTTTTGGCAGCAAAATTATAGCACTCCCCCTTAACAAGTAGAGATGAAATGTCGTCCAGGCTCAAATGACAGACTTCTTCCAAGTGCTGGACCACTTTATGGATACCATCTTTTTCATTTTCTCTCCCTAATACTTTTAGGATGGATTCATGAAGAGAAAGATCTGGAGAATATCCGTTATTTATCATGTCATGATACAACAACAGTGCCTTCTTAGTATTTCCAGACCGCAAACACATGTCCACCATAAGGCTGTATGCCAACCGATCAGGTTTGATGCCAGAACGTTTCATGCAATTGAACATCTCTTCAGCCTCCCTTTGCCTCCCAGCTTTTTCATAACCACATATCAAAGCGCAATATGTTTTCACAGTTGGCTTAACCTCAGAATTCAACATCTCTGACATCACATTTGCAGCTTCTGCCATCTTATTTGCTTTCCCCAGTGAGTCAATAAGAATTGTGTAGGTTACTACATCAGGATCTCGGCCTGAAGACTTCATCTCTTGATAAAGTTGGAGAGCAATATCATGCTGTCCCTTCTTTCCATGCATGCTCAGCATGGTGTTATAAGTCATCTCATCCTTCCCGAATCCCATCTTTGTCATTTCTTCACAGGTGACCTTAACCTTTTGAAAATTTCCCTCCCTTGCAAACGCATATACCAGTGAATTATATGTCACCGCATCTGGACGAAACCCTTTCGACTCTAGATCCTTAAAGATCCTTTCAGCCTCACTAGCGAGACCACATCTTCCGAAAATTGAAATCATAGCATTGTAGGTCCACAAATCAGGCTGGCATTTGTGAGTATCCATATAGCTAAAAACATTCACAGCTTCCTTCAAGTTTGAGTGGCGTGAACAAGCACTGATAAGAGTGTTATATGTAATTATGTCAGGCCGAAGCCCTGAACTCTTGACCTCGTCTAGAAGTTCAATTGCAAAATTTGGGGTCATAGGCCCTGACTTTAATCGTGCATTTATAAGTGTATTAAAACTCACAAGGTCTGGATCACATCCTTGTTTGCGCATCAAACCTATCAATTCCTGGACTTTAGTGAATCGTCCACTTCGAGCATAAACACCCATCATTGCATTATACACTTGCACTGTGTAGCCAACAGTGGGCTGCACCCGCGTAAAGATTTCCACAGCCAATGCTTCCTGGTTGGCTTTCCCAAGCACACCAAGTATTGTAGCCAGCATCCTAGCATCAGGAGTGTACCAGTGACGAAGGTTCAGCCACTCGTAAACTTCCAATGCTCTCTGCCAACTACATTTCCCAACCCACTTCACCATAAAGCAGTAATCAGTGGGAGTCATCTGCACCAACTTCTTGTCCAACACATCAGCCACAAACTCATCAGACCCCAACCCTAAGATTTCATCCGTTAGAAGCTGTACCCTCTTCCGCCATTCTTTGTCCCTCTTCAACTCCAATTTGTTCATTTTCTTAGCCTTTGTCCTACTCCTGGTCCTATTACTATCCTGGCCCTCATCATTCATCTCTACCTTAAATCTGAAATCATTTTCCTTTTCCGTAGGGGCCGGTGGTGGGGAAGGGTAAACAGTGAATTGATTGCTGCCAGGGAATGTCAAGTGTGGCCATCTCACAGAAGGAGAAGCTCTACTGTAGCTAAATTTCCGGCTCGAGTCATGCTCAGTACTCGAAGTACTGGTAACAGCAGAAGTCGAAGCAGAGCAATCCAAAGAGAAAGAAGTAGAAGGCCTTTCGTGTACCTTGGGGTTTAGGCTCGTTCTTAGGCATGGCGGTGAAGCACTGCTCAGCACGCCGGCTGCACTGGACGCCATTTCTTCTCAATTTAGTCACTTCCGACATGGTCTTGATGATTCGAGACGACGGTTTAAACACATCTCGGAATTCAGAAACTCCGGAAACAAATTAAACTACTCTATAATTTCTCACAAATATTGCAACCCAATCAAATGAACTTTATGGTAAGAGGTGAAATTAGTGATGTCCATACCCAAATTTCTGAAAAGAATCGAAAAATTTTAAACCTTAAAAATACTACTCCTGATGATTTTGGGAACCGCACCGGTGACACAGACTTGATTGCAACTAAGTAGGAGTAAAAGTTTAGTGAAATTAGGTAAAATTAATTGATATTCATTCAATTTTACTCTAAAAAATTATTGTAATGACTGAATACAAATGATTGCTGAGTTTAGAGAAATTATTTGAAATTCAATCAATTTTATCCTTAATTAGATGAAATTGAATATAATCACATTAAATTAAAGTAAAACTAGTATCACACTCGTGCGTTGCACGGGTCATTTTTATGTTATTAAATTCAAATTATTTTTCAATGATAAATGAGATGCAATAGAATATAGAGATTATATTATTTTAGGGTAAAAATCATCATTGTCTTACAAATTTCGAAAGACTTCTTTATCGACTACATTATTGTACAATTTGTGAGAATATTTATAGTATATTTAATTGTAATAGGCTATAGGCTATTATAATTATAATAAGAAGGGTTGACTTTTTTCAAAATTGGGTGTATAATTATTCTTACCATAATTATTTTTTTCGAAATTGGGTGTATAATTGTATAACTTACTTTTTTTAATTATTTCCAATTTTCAAAAACTTACGCTTTGCATTTGTATAACTTACCTTTATTAAAAACTTACGCTTTGGATTTGTATAACTTTCCTTTTTAATACGTTAATTATTATAAATATAATAATTATATTAACTTCCGATGGCTTACCATTTTATATTACTCACGTTAATTATTACAGTATAAAAATAATTATATTAACTTCCGATGGTTAAAAATGATAGTTATTTATTTTACCATAATTTCATACGTTTCCAATCAGTAGTCAAAATAACGTTGGTTAATTATTAGCATATAATACATTGATTCCAATTTTATTAAAAACTTATGCTCTGCAATTTCATAACTTACCTTTTTTAATTATTTCGAATTTTCAATACGTTAATTATTATATATAATAATTATATTAACATCACGCTTACCATTTTATATTACTCACATTAATTATTATAAAAACAATAGCTATTGTTATATTTATACCTTTTTTAATAATTATAAATCCACAATTTCGACCACTTACCATTTTAACATCACAATTATTTACTTACCTTTCGGCCATTTTATCATTATTATAAATATAATAATTATAATAATTATTACTACAATTTCGGCCACTACAATTATTAATTTACCTTTTTTAATTAGTTCCAATTTTCAATACTTTAATTATTATATTTATACCTTTTTTAATAATTATAACTTCACAATTTCGGCTACTTACCATTTTAACTTCACAATTATTAACTTACCTTTCGGCCATTTTATAATTATTATAAATATAATAATTATAATAATTACTACTACAATTTCGGCCACTACAATTATTAATTTACCTTTTTTAATTATTTCCAATTTTCAATACGTTAATTATTATATTTATACCTTTTTTTAAGAGTAAATTCTATAAAAAGTCCCCAGTTATAGGTCGTTTTACATATTTAGTCCCTACATATCAAATATTACTAATTTAGTCCCTAATTATTATATCATTTTTCACGAATGGTCCTTTGTTAACGTTTTTGTTAAGAACATGGATAAAATTGTATATTCATACTTCTCTCTCTCTCCTCAATTAAGCTTCCTCCCTCCTCTCGTACTCTTTCCCAAACTCGTCGCTGAGTTTGAAACTCTAAACCTAGAACTGAAATGATCATTCCTCTCTTAATTATTAGTCTTCCTGGTGGAACCTAAAATCAAAACCAATAAGCTTAATGATTGAGTTTTATCGGTTAGTCTCAGGAAATTGCAAAGAAAATAAACATTAAAACTCATCCATGAAGGTTACTGTTTCAAATTTGGGTTCCACCAGATAGGCAAACAATTGAGAGAAGAATGATGATTTCGATTTTGGGCTCAAAGTTTCAAACTCAGCGACGAGTTTGGGAAAGGAGTGCAAGGGAGGGAGGAAGCTTAATTGAGGAGAGAAAGGAGTGTTACAATTTTATCCATGTTCTTAATAGAAATGTTAACAAAGGACCATTCGTGGAAATGAATATAATAATTGGGGACTAAATTAGTAATATTTGATATGAAGGGACTAAATATGTAAAACGACCTATAATTGGGGACCTTTTATGGAATTTACTCTTTTTTTAATAATTAGAACTTCACAATTTTGGCCACTTACCATTTTAACTTCACAATTATTAACTTACATTTCAGCCATTTTATAATTATTATAAATATAATAATTATTACTATAGTTTTGGCCACTGCAATTATTAACTTACCTTTCGGCCATTTTAATTTACCTTTCTTTAATTATTTTAAATATAATAATTATTACAATAATTTCGGTCACTTACCATTTTAACTTCACAATTTCCATTTGTAATTGTCATACTCTTTGGGCGGGAAAATCATATGTTGACTCCATGTCTTTTTAAATAAAGTATAGATTAGGTGAAATTCTATGCATTTGGTTGAAATTAGATAAAATTAAATCCAATTAGAAGAAATACAATAAATATGAGTTTGAATATATACAAATATAAAAAAACTAAATTAGAATAATGTCGTGTTCTAATCAAATATAATTGAGTCTAATTGGATGAATATCGATTAAACTTAAGTAAAATTTAGTGAAATTCATTCAATTTTATGTCCAACAATTATTTCTCTTGATTTAAATTGAATGCTATTAGGTAAATTGAATAAAATGTTATGAAATTATATACAATTTGGTTAAAATATGTTGAAATTGAGTGAAACTAAATCGAGTTAGATAAAATTTTGAGTGAAATTAAATGTAATTCAGAGTAGACATTTAGCTAACCACACTACTGAGGGCTCTTATTTGAGAATGGGTGAGAAATTACCATTTTAATTTAAATGTGCTCGTGTTTGCATAAATTGTAATATAATATTTCTTATATAAGTTGTATTTTATATTTTTATATCAATTTGTAAATAAGATTAATTTAAAAGACATGAAATTTTTCATTTTGTTTAGAGATACGGAGTATATGGTAACTCATTTTGAGACATAGGAAGTAAGTAGTATAAGTATATAACTTCTCAAATGGTAAACTAAAAGTAAAAATTTGAAATCGTATTAATGTTATTGTTCACGAATATACATAAAAATAATAGATTTATACATGAACCGTATCGGGTAGGGAGGAACTTCGAGCGTCATCGAATTTTGGAAAATATGAAGTATGAAACTAGGGTTTATTAGTTCTCTTCTATGCCAATGGCGAGAATGGTATATCCATATATAAATGAAAACTCTAACTTAACCCTAAAGATTTTAAGTTATCAATCCTGACGGTTTAGTTGAGGGGTATGCTACTTTGATAAAACATAATACATGGGAGATTGTTCCTCGGCCTCTACATCGAGCTTCAATTGGCTGCAAATGGGTTTATAAAATAAAGTCTGCCACAGAAGGATTTATCTTGTGCTATAAGGCATGTCTTATAGCCAAGAGCTACAATCAGAAGTATGGGCTGGACTACTTTGAGACCATTAGTCCTGTGGTCAAACAATAGACTATATGCATTATTTTTTCTCTTTCTCTAAACTATCAATGGTCCCTTCACCCAGTTGGACGTATCCAATGCCTCTTGCATGTTGAAGTAGACGATGATACTTACATGTCTCAACCCCAGGTTATATTGATTCAAATTTCACTCGTCATGTGTGCAAACTCACCAAATCTTTATATGGCTTGAAGCAGACCCCCTCACACTTGCTATTTGTGCTTGTGTGCATTCCTGTTCTTCTATGGATTTTGAAAAAATGAACATGATATGACACGAGTCTGTTCATCGCACGTGGTTCTACGAGAACTCTTATTTTGCTTGTTTATGTTGATGATGTTATTGTTGTAAGCAGCTCCGCTTGTCTTGTTCAGGCTTTTATTGACTCTATGTGTCAAGAGTTTTAGACAAAGGGCTTTGGTCCCCTTCATTATTTACTTGGTCTTGAAGTGCACCGTACCTCTTTTACACTTATTGTTTCTCAGAGAAAATATGCCATTGAGTTGTTACACTATGCCGGTCTAGACTATAGAGGACTGTTAATCGACGGCAACCCCACTACCAATCCACTCGCGGTAGATGAAAGGGGTAAGAAGGTATTCCACAATCCCACTTTGTTTCAAAGTCTTGTTGGGAGTCTACAGTATCTCACCACTACTCGTCATGACATACAATTTGTTATGAATTATGTGTTTCAGTGTATGCATGCTCCTATTGATAATGATTTTAAGAGTTTAAAGCGGATTTTACAATTTATCAAAGGTACTCTTGATAAGGTTCTGATTTTCCATGCCGGTGATCTTCAATAACATTCATAAGTTTTATATAACCAAATAATTGATCAAATAACACATAATCATGCATTCTACCCGATTAATTCATCAATAATCCAATTTTCCTAAAAATCCCAATTTTCACATAAATCAACTATACGAGATTATGAACGTGAATTTCAAACCTATGTGAATAATCTAGCGTTACATGTCCACGTACTCATCTCGAATTCAACGAAAGATTAACAACGAAGAATGAAAACCTAATGAGCAGCGGTGATGGCAATGGTATGGCGTTCCTCTTCTCCTTCTCCTTATTTTTCTTCTTCTTCTTCATTTTTTCCTTTGATTTGCCACTGCTGCTTTGATCGAAATAAGGCTGAGAGAGAGAGAGAGATAGACGTGAGGGACGTGCGTGGATACTAAACGAATTGTGTGCATGAAAACAATGTACAGGTATATTTATATAATCATAGGGTTTCGTGCTTCGTAATTAACGTACCTCGGTAAATATACACTTTTTGGGAAAATTTATTCTGAATGCGTATCGTCGAACCCTACACAATGGTATAGTTTTTATAATTTATTGAGAAGCATTTATAATTAACTCTGATTCGAATAAATAATTAATGAACTATTTACTCCCTAGAACCTCGAAAATAAATTCAAAACCTCCATATTTTTGAGAACTCAAACGCCACAAATCTACATTCTTGTACATTTATTCTAGACCTGTGCAAATAAGGATCCGTGTCGGATCTGGGCCGGGCTTGATATAAATTATTAGCCCATTTACATGGGCGGGCCTGGCCCAGCCTGGATTTGATGGGCTAAATTCTTTACCCATACCCGCCCATCTTTGTGGGCCGGATTGCCCACTGGGCCACCCGGCCCGGATTAAACATCAAAAAGAAATTGTACAAAAAATTTAAAAAAAACATTGAACTCTTTTTTAATGTTTCAAATAAAATAATCAGTCATCACATTTATATAAAAAACATAATAGAGATATTGTTGCATAATTAATAAACTCATCATACTGATTAATTAAAAGAGTATTGATTTTTTTAAAACTATTATACATGAATTATAGAAATTTTTAAAACTTATATTGGCTAGATAATTAATAATAAAGTAAATATATTTGATGAATATGGACGGGCCTGTTGGCCCAGATTAGCTAAAAGTAACTTCCAGATCCGCCCATATACAATTTTGGCTTGGGCCGACCCGCCCATTTGGGTATTAAAGATTGTCCATATCCGCCCTTTTTAAAGGGCAGGTTGGGCGGGCCGACCCTTGTTTGCACAGGTCTAATTTATTCATATTCCTTAATGAACGCCAATGAAAACTCACAAGCCCTCTGCAAACCTAGATGAGGTAGGAAATAAACGACACTTCAGAAAATGAAATGAGTGGAAACAGTATCAAAGATTCAAAGTTATATGGACGCTTCTATAAAACTTTATGTTCACAATAAGAAGCCTGACATTACATGAACTACATATATAGCTGGACAAAATTTCATTGAGAAAATGAAAAACTCAAATGAACAATTCTTGCACCCCGGAAACACCGACTATCTGCCGCATAGTAAAACAATTGGTACAGTACAACACTTTCAATCACAAGTTTTTGTTTTAAAAGTAAATAAAAAAACAAGATACAAGGTAACCTGCTGTTTTTGTATGTCCCACAAGGAGAACCCAATGGAAAGAAGCACAGGTCAGTCAAGCTATGTATTAGGAACATCAGGAATTATGTGGCCTTCTGTCCCAACAGAGCCAGGCAAGATGTCTCTAGCGCCAGAGATGTTATTCTCTGCAACGGGAGATGGACTAGAATTATTACTCACCTCAGCATCGGTCATCACAGAAGAGCTTAAGCCCGGGGTGTTGGAGCCGGAGGAGCGGTCTTCAGATTGTTTGTGCCTATTCAAGGCATTGCAATGTGGGCAGTAGTATGTAATGTAGGGGAAGTCTTCTTTCCTAGCAAGCCCTGCTTAAGGAAAACGACCATTCCTCCATTAATCTTTTTTTGTGGTAGTGATGATGATTATCCCAAAATTAATAAAAATAATAATAATAATAATAATAATAATAATAATAATAATAATAATAATAATAATAATCAATTGTGATGACTTGGGAGGGATCATACCGTTGTGCATATGACAGTTGCCGCAAATAAGAGCATAGGACTGTGTTGGATCCTCGCCCACGAGCAGTGCCGCGATACGCGAGATCCACCCTCCATTTTGTGGGGTTGAGCTTGTTGGGTTGTGATGCTCAACGACCAGCGGATGATGCTCCGTTGCTTCAGAACCCTCTACTAGCATTGTTTGAGAGCGCATTTTGTTTTCTTCGGAATGGACCACTTCCGTTGTGGTACTCCTTCCAGACCCAACTGATCTGGTTGTCGGTTGCTTTCTGTTTCGAAGTCCAGTGGAATTTGCAACCTCAGCATCATTACTCTTTCCAGCAGGAGGGGCATTACGTTGAGTCTCGTCTCCCACAAACACCTTCAACCCACTATCTGCACCAAGCTTGGAAGCCAGCACAGTGGCAGCTGCAACCTGAGCAGCAGGGTCAGGATCGTACTTCTGCACACCACGACATCATCAAACATCTCAGTACTGATCAAGTTAGCTGAATAAGAAAAACGTGGGCATAATGAATTGAATAGATAAAAAAAAGTACCCCCTCCATCTCATTACACCAGTACAACTTTCAAATTTTACAAAGGTATAATGATTACACTATTACAGATCATCAAATCTAGCTATTTTTAAAATTAATAAATTGATTTAACAAAATTTAATCCAGTTGACTGGTTTGGTACTCTTTAAATAAAAATACTAAGTATGATGAAATTATCTTCTTTTTTTTGAACTGGACTTATTTTTTGGGACAAGAACATGCTTAGAAAGTGGAATCTATTTATGAGTGAAGGGAGTGCTATATTAATATTCAAATTTTACATTTGAATATAAAAAATTTCGGTCTCACCATAGTCTCAAGGTGTTACATGTTCATAAAAGACCAACTGATATCCATAAAGCAGTAAACAGTGTGGCCAAATCAGTGTCTAAATTGAAGGTATGAAATTTAGCACTTTCAAAAAGAAGCAAAAAAACAATACTATAGAGACACTCCCATTTAGCCAAATCACAATTCTGCATGAGGGACGCATTTAGGCATTAGGATCTCCTTATGCACTCTAAGTTGTTTTTTTCTGATTAGGCCCTGCCTTTTTCTACTTGCATCTTGACTAGGCGCTAGACCCTAATTTGCCGCCTAGCAGCCACCTAGTATTTTTAAAACATTGGATGAACTCCATTTGTTCCATGCATTTACACTATGATAAACTGAAAACCAAGCAATGCTACATTAAAAAAAACCTTATTGGGTGGGTTCTAGCATAAAAAAAATCACCCACTTATTTTATTCATTAAAGTATGACTGTATGAGATATATGTGGGGGAAAAACTGACAAAAGTTCGCGGCGAAGCAATTTGCCTGGCTAGGTAAGTATTAATGCAATGCCACGGTGCTGTGTTCATCTGCTTGGGTATCCACGCAGAGTGAAAAAACGTAGCATTCCAGTTGCGTACTTGTGTTGTTTACCTGAATGAGTTGTTGTGTAATATAGTAATTTGTCCTCTCCTTGAGTTCATCAATCTTTGCTTTCCTTTCAGCACGGAGCCTTTCCAAGGTTTTGTTATCCTTGTTGTCACCTTATAATATTGGGTCGAAGGCATAAGCTTTCTAAAGTAGAAGACCAAAGACGTGAAAACTATATATAAATTTATGACAAAAATTCATTACTTAGCTCAACAGTGAGGCAAACACATTTCAAACATATGACACGTATATACCACAAAGTTCAAGTTTTACATGCCAACTTCGTTTAGGTTGCCAGAAAACATCAGCCTCATGATAAATGATAACCTTTTGGGAAACAAAAGCAAACAACAAAGAAATGAGTAAAACTTGACACCAAATTACCAATTAAGACTTCAGATGTTTATCTTACATACTTAAATAATAAAACGATTATCTTCTTGATTCAAACAACAGTTTTTAAATGATGTTCAACAAAGAGATCAAAACAGTAGAACCGAGTGCATGATGTATAAATTTTACTGCATTACAATTGATAAATGAAACTAAAGCCCTTTTTGTTGAGAAGCTACAGGTCATATGCATCAAAGTGATAAAAATGCAAACTAAATACTACCTCCGTCCCAAAGTACTTGTCCAGTTTGACTCTTTTGAGTCAAAATAGACAAACTTTTATCATCAATTAAATAAAAATTATAGTTGCATACTTGCATATTAGTACAAAAATGATTTGATTATTAGATTTATAAGAAATCACCCAAAATAGGAGTAAAACACAACATATATCCCCAAAATAGGATAAACATGTTTTTATCCCCAAAATACGATAAACATGTTTTTATCCCCAAAATAGGACCTTATACTGTGACAATGTGGCATTGTATATTAGCACTCCATAGTATTTTTTGGTAGTATATGTTGACATTATTGACTTTGTAAGACTTATTTTGGGGATAAAAACATGAAGGTCATATTTTGGTTCTTTCCATATGTTTTACTCTTATTTTAATCTTTCTCCCTAGATTTATCTTGCGAAAATATTTCAGAAATTTATTCCATTGTATTAATACGTAATGCAAATTTAAAGTAATTGATGATTAAAGTTTGCCCAGTTTGACTAAAAAAGTATTATTTGAATGTATGCACAAGCATTAGTTCAGGAATAATAAGTTTTATCCGAAGACCCATCATATAGAGTAATAAGTTTTATCCAATGTTTCAGGAATGAAGAATTAAAGGTTCAATTTCTGATTAAAAAGCAAGTAGATTAAAACTATATCCTTAGACTATATTTTGCACACTCAACAAAACTAATATTTTCAGCATTTTATATAAGAAAAACAGTTTAAAAAACTAAGTACTTACAAATCCTTCTGAAGCTTCCAAGTGCTGAATACAAAACGAAAGATAGTCCAGGTAATAGAAACATTGGCAAAACGCGCAGAGCTCTCAATTTCCAATTTAGATCAAGGGATCTAGTAGTCATGATAGCATAACCCACAGAAATAGCCTGACAATCAAAACATTTTGCAGGGGCAAGACTATTAGATATGTATTTAAAAACAAATATGATAGACTAGGCTTCTAGCATCACAGCTTTTAAAGGCTTCATAGAAATATAGACAAATAATCTCATAATAGTATGACAGAACATCTTTGATAAAATTTGAATGGGCAATTAGTGGTCATGTATCATGTAGCTTACAGTTTAGAAGCTTAGCTTGTTATCTCTAGGTAAGATCCAAGGTCAGCACACACCAAACACACTGTTCACGACTCCAGCGTGACAGCGAGTTATGATACTAGCTACAGAAAAATCATATTTTTGATAACAGCCTAACACTTAGCATGAAAAAGTGGTTCCTGTAATCAAGCAGTCAAGGCATAACCAGTAGTCTGGAAGTACATGACAGCTAGAGAATTCCAGCACGGTGAAATCGCATGCAAAGAGTGCAAACAAGTCCTTGTTTCAATTGCTCATTTGCTACTGAATGTCAAATTTGATTAGAGTTAGACTGATTAAGCAGGGGATTAAGAAGTGCTTGATCATGGTTTCCTTTTAGACCATCACAAATCGGTTATTAAAATGCAAACGAGAAAACAAAAAATGAGAAGAATGGTTGCAAATAAGCTTCACATGAAAAACATTTAGAAAAGGAATACTTTTGTTGATAGAAAATATGAAACTATACTTCAAAGGTTTTTAATGAAATACTCCTTAACTATGTAACACACCGTAGACTCATAGAGGTAACGAAAGACTCAGAAGAAAATAAAATTGCTTGATTGTCTTTAAGATTATGAATTAATTAAACTTTACCTCAAAAAGTACAGAAAGTATAATGAGGTTTCTTAAGATCCTACTAAAACTTTGAGAACGCTTTGTAATTCTCTGAATAACAGCAGCCTCCTCTTTGGAAATGTGTTGCAATCTCTTCTCAAAATCATCTCTGCCAGATCTGAAGAGTGCATTCCACATTCTTGATATCAGACCTTTCTTCTTCTTGTTTGTTTTTACCACAGCCTCGGTATGTGTGGCAGGCACTTTGCTTTTTGTATCACCAGCATCCTTTTCAAGCTCCTCGTCCATTCCCTACAAACTACAATTGGAAGTGAAAAACAGTAATAATATTAAAATATAATAATCAAGGTGGACAATAAGACACCCGATCAGTTGATTAGCATTTTAATGGGATCACACCCTCCCTTCACACTACAGTTGTTTAAAAACTTATTTCAATGGTTGCACACTATTTTAGTTGGCATCAAAATCTGCATAAACAATTTCACTACTTTTCCTACTCAACTATTTATTCAAATTCTAGCCCCCAAACAGATGGAGTTGTCCGAAATTTCGTGAAAAAATAATGGAAAGAAGAAAAAAATTCTACCGACCATTTATTTATAAACACATTGATATGACAAGTCATTGTTCTAAATTTTCTGATATTACCAATTTGGTGACAACCCCAGTACTGTAATCTGATCTGCAAAGCAATTGCCAAATTGGCAGACAGAAGGTTTTCTTACAATATGTTTACAAAGAAAAAAGTGACAGATATGAGCTTGTTCATACAAAATGTTCATATCATCAACGAAATGGGATATACACATACACATACATTTACATTAATACATAGATCTAAACCATACACACACACCTAACCTCGGATAAGAAATCAGATGAATATGTAAGCCTACATACACAGATCCGTCAAACCTGAGGAGAAATTGAGTGGCGGACACAGAGGCACTCGGACTGGTGTAAACCACGTAGCTTATGCTTGGAGTGGGGCTTTTTTTCAGGCCGCAGTGAGATGGATGTATATTGTTAAAGGCGTCAAGAATTCGCCGGAGGTTAATCCGGTGAAGATGTGCCGGTTGGAGCAGGTCGATGGCTTTTGGGGCTTCTTTCCGTCGGGAGGAGACTGGGATAGAGGGAAGCCGTGCGTTCGACGAAGCGGTTGTTGATGGAGCTGAGCTTGCTTTCAGATCTCAGGCACTGGTTCCTTGTGTAGTTTTTCCTTTCTTTTTCGACAGTTTTTTCAAAACTAGGCTATTGGAACTTTGGAACAAGAGTTTGGAAATTTTGAAAAGAGTAAATTTCATTATTTAATCATTTATTATGAAATACAAAGTATTACCTTAACGGTCTTTCTTTTATGAGTTTCCTTCCATACTAGTTCTTTTTTTATATTTTATCATGTTGATATTAGTTTAAGGCTAAAAGTATAATTTCATAATGATAATATATGTTTCTTTGAAATCTGGTGCTTTAAATTGTGAGATCTAAAGGTCAGTATTGCATCAAAATTAGGTGTACCAAAATGGTTTGAAAAATGCGTCATGTCAAAATGCACCAAAATCCTTTAAAATGCACTATTCAAAAATCTGAGCGCATGATACAATCTGAGACGCACGATGCATCAGATCCAAAGGCTAAATTTTATTCTTATTTCTTTCACCAAGGTGCATTTTCACGTGAACCGGCCCCTATATATATACATACACATACATACATATATACATACATACATACATATATATATATACATACATACATATATACATACATATATATATATATATATATATATATAGATACATACATACATACATACATACATACATACATATATACATACATATATATATATATATATATTGAAGATGTTTATTGTTGGGGAAATTAATGATAACTTGGATGAATCGAGAGTTGTGTAAACACTTTCAGATTGAATATTTTGGTTGTTCACTCCAAAATTCAATCGGATAAAACTCAAAAGTATCAAGAACGAAATATGAGAATTACTGTGTAAAAACCGAACGAAATTCGACCATGCCCAGGGGGATTTTATAGACTAGGGGTGAGAAGGAGAAGACACCATTTGCGGCTATTACCCAAAGCACGCAACTCTTCGCGCGGAAGTTTCTTCTTCAAAATTCGGTCCTATCCATCAAATTTTCTTTTAAAGAAAATTCGAAATTAAAATTCTAATTGAATTTTTTAACATAGCACCGAGCCCAAAATTCTAATCTCGACCCCAGCCAGGGGCTCTGCCCCTTGGACCCCGCAGGGGCTGCCACCCCTTGAACCCTGCTCGGGGGCGCTGCCCCCTTGGAACCCCCGATGTAACGGGTTTTATATCGTAACAAACTCAATGAAGCGTACACTCCGCACTACCAAACTTCTTTGATGATTATTAGGATACCATTGGTCGTAGTTTTTCCAATTACACTAAAATATATAACATTTATACCCTACACTAGGCTGCTAAATGTGTCATATGATTGATTATCTGATTATCGATATCTTTCTTGTTATAATTAAATATAATCTTGTGATTTTTTGAAAGTAAATAATGAATTACGTTTGTTGTTAGTATAAGTCTGAATTTTAGAGATGTTGTAAATAAATGGATAAGCTATCTAGAGAAACTCTAGGACTGCTTCAGTAAGATTGTAAGTGTAAATGTCAATAAGTAGAATCAGTCATGCGGATCTAAAATCTGGCGGCTGCGGGTTAAAAGGTTCGTACGAGATCCATAAATTATCATTCTGAAGGGGATAGGGGTACCCACCACCCAGCAGATAACTCCTTCTTTGGTCAAGTCGTGTTGTACTGTAATGTATTGAATAAGGTATACTTGAGTCATGGCCGTATGTAGGTAGTGGCTCTAAGTTCAAAGATAAGACTGTAAATAAGGATGTATGGTTTTGGACAAGTATTTATACGAGCCATAGATAAAGATGAATTAAGGTAATGACTTGTGACTTGTGAATTTATTTAATTATTGTTATGTGATGTTTTTAATGTTGTACTTGTGTGCATGATATTGTACTTGTTTGTTATGTTTTAAGGGCAAGAACCCAAAATTGTATTTCACTATTTTGAATTAAATACTTTAAATCTTCCGCACCATCTTTGTTTACTCCTTTTGCAAAAGATGTCAAGAACAAGGTGTGAGTGGGTAAACTCATTAATGTCCTCTTGAAAAAGAATACTTGGGATGGACTTATCAGAAACCTCCGGCGCAGCCATGTTGAATTCAAGATTAACAAGTAGAGGGTCAATCCATATTGGGTTAGCAGTGAGTGTGAGAGCACTCAAATCCTCACAATATTGACCATCAACTATAGTTTCCCCTATGCCAATGCTTTGTGTATTTTCCAAAGGAAGTTAAGGTTGAATAATCCAGAGGGGCTTGGGGTCTTCACAAAGGGCAGAAGACTCTGCACCCAATGTTTGCTTAACCAATTCTACAGGCCTGCTCAAAAAGTTGCATAGTGGCTCCCTCTTAGACAGAAATACTTTGGCAGTACTGTGAATCAACTTACCACATAATTTTTCAAGCTCACACCAAAAGAGTGAAGGATTGTGGTAGTAGACGAATGTATGTGATAGTAACCCTTCTCGACTCAAGACACCTCCCTTAGCACCCTTCCGTATGCCTTTTCAAGTTCACAATCACAAAACTAATATACAAAAGTGAAAATAAAGCAAGAGCTCAGGACGTATGGGGACCATTTCATTTTATAAATCCAACTCTATAATTTTAAACTCAACTTTACAATTTTGCCAATTCATTCACCCCTAATGGATGAAGTTAAGTTTTTGGGTTTAAACCTACACTTAAAAGCTATCATCACAACCACCATTATGACCTATCTGAATGGGAAGAAGGGGAGAAGAAGGAAAGTATGTGAGTGAACACGAAGGGATGTGAGGGCTTACCTTCACATTGTTTGATTATAAAAGGAGAAGAAAATAATTGATTTTTTTTTAAATTTTTATATTTATAAAATTTCTTTTTTTTAATTTTATCATTTATAGTTTATTTATTTATTATTTTTATTTCAATATTTTTATTAATTTCACTTATTTGTTAATTTTTTTTATTTTTAATATTAATATTAATATTATTATGAATATTATTACTATTATCACTATTATTATTATTATTACAACTACTACTATAATAATAATAGTTATTATTATCGTCATTATTATCACTATCATTACCGTTTTCTTATTATTATTATTATCATTATATCCCAGAGTGATTTTTATTTATTTATTTATTTTTACATTATAATTAATTTTTATTGGTAACAATAATAATTTTTTCATTTTTAATACTCTTATTATTTATTTACTATTTTGATATTTTATTTTCTGATTTATACTTACAGAGTATATTTTTTATTTCCGTTATTTTCAATTTTTTAAAAAATGATTATTATGTTTATAACAAATTAAAGAAGAGAAAATTAACCAAAGAAAAGGAAGAACAACGTAGGCAATGAGGAACCTTCCATATGGAGGGTTTGATTTTGAGGTAGGGAAGGATTGAAGCTAAAATTTCGGACCCTCCCTCTTTTATTTTTTAGAAATCATCTTAAATAAGACTAAAACATAAAGAAAAGTACCAAAATAGGACTTCCATGTTTTTTTTCCCGGAATAGGATTTTGCACTGTGGTAATGTGACTTTGCATTGTGGTAATGTGGCAGTGTACATGTGCAGATTACTATACTTTTTTGGTAATGTATATGACCATGTTTGGTAATGTAAGTCCTATTTCGGGAATAAAAACATAAAAGTCCTATTTTGGTATGTTTTCAATGTTTTAGTCTTACTTTAGTCTTTCTCTCTTTATTTTTTAAACCAAACAATTGGAGGAGCCTTGTTTTCCTCCCCTCTCCTTCCTTCCAACCAAAACATATATATACTCTTAGAGGAAACGAGAAATGCAATGTGTGAAGAACAAAACATGAACAAATTAGACCCAATTTTGTGTGAGTAGTAAGATGACGAGCTCTACTACGTCCCTAACATATGAGCTGTATAAATTTATTGGCCTACACTATTTATATTTAGAGGACTCAGTCCCATCCCATGCCGGAGGACTCATCTGGACTAAGCAAATGTAAATTAGATTTTGATTGCAGATTAGTAGTAAACAGTAGAGTCTCTACCTGAAACATGCAAAGGTCTTGTTTTAGCTTAATTTGCGAGTTAATGCGATTGCTAAAATTAAACTCAAACTTATTCTTTTGACACTCTTTACCTTTATCAATTGCGCAACATCACCCACTACCCCTATAAATATTAATTAGAGGTAGCTAGACAAGGATGTGCCACAGAAGAAAGCCTCTGTCACTGGCCCTAAAGTTGTGCATGTGTTGTTTCATCATAAACATACTCTCTTTGTTCATTTCTTTAACCTTCTTTGGACCACTCCCATTTATTATTAATTCGTAAGTAAATTCCACGTTTCTCTATATTTAAATATTCCACATTTCTACTCAAAAAAAAAAAAAAATAATCCACATTGAATCTACTTTATTCCAAGTTAAAATTCAAAACTAAATGGTTAAACATTATTCGTATTCTTTATATATTTTCGTTAGTGATTTGATAAATTAATATAGTCATGTCATTACTTATTTTGTAGAGCTTTTGATGTTTTTTTTAAATATGTAAATTTTATTTTTTAACTCTACTCCAATTATCTCATAAACTGAATATATAATAATTTTAGTCAAATATCGTAAACTAAAGCAGAGCTTTTAAAGTTAGAGGGAGAGAGTATTATGTTATGAAAGTTTATTTGAAATTTATACGAGTACCTAGTACTCCATATTAATATGGGTCCTGTTTGAGAACATCAATTTGAATAGCGTCAACATTTTAAATAAAGTTTTGGTGGTGTATGTGAATTTTAAAAATGCTAACGTTAAATGTTACGGTCAGATAGCATTTTTAAAACGCTAATGTTAACCGCCAAAGTTGATGATGTCAAACGGGGCGGCCAAGGAGTATTTTCTATTGTTAGTTCTATGAGTCATTAGGGCAGTGGTAATGGGCGTAACGCCCTACCACGTTATACTGACTTTGACGCCTAGGGGACGTTAAACACCGTCCCCCTCCCCCGTTATCGGGGCATTAAAACTCCCGCGTCATAGTTTTGACGCAATTTGAAGGCGTGATAACGCCTCTTTCTTCTTTTCTCTCCTTCTTTTTTCCTCTTTTCTTCTCTATAAATTAAATTAATTTTTTTTTAAAATTCAACACAAATACAAATTTCTCTATCATCTTTTTTTAAAAAATTATTATTCAACTATTTTTTTTTATTTTTTCTTGAATGTAATTTTTTATTTATTGAATATAATTTTTTTATTTAATGAATGTACTTTTTAATAATGAATGTAATTTTTTTATTTAATGAATGTAATTTTTATAATGAATACAATTTTTTTAATGAACTATTCTCGTTTCAATTCTTTTAAATAATTAAATATTTAAATTTAATGAATTTAATTTTAGAAGATGTGTATTTAAAATGTAAAAAATGAAGGTTTGAAGCCCCAGTTTGAAGCCTCGGGGCTTCAAACCCATTTCCAGTGAAACTTTGAGTTAAGTTAAAGCTGACATGGCAGAGAGAGACGGTTTGAAGCCCTGGTTTGAAGCTCTGGGGCTTCATGGGTATTTCCACCCATTAAGTTCTTTAAAATTTGAAATGTTATCACTTTTAACCCTTTGTTAGTGTAGCATTTTGAGGATCTTTGATGAAAAGATGACTGAAATTAACAATGTTCACGATTAAAGTGAACTTTCAATACATTTTATAAAGTAACACACATAATTTTTACCATCCAAGCATTTAGATTGGTTTTTTTCATCTTTCAATAATATTTTGAGTTTCAGTCTTTTAAGAGGATTTTTTAAATAAATCTCAATTTTACCGTATATTTTAGTTGACTTTCTATATATATGCTCTTAATCAGAAATTGTAGCCGAAGTGACAAACTTTATTTTTAAGATTTGACAAACTTGTAGGGGTATTATTGTCTTTGACGAACGGAAGTGTGGACTGAATTTGAAAAAAAAAATATTAAAAAATGAGAACTTAATTAGAAAGACGTTATAGTAGCATGTTGGCCTAGTGACAAGGAATTCACAGCAATCAAGCTTTTCCATATCATGGTAGTGTACATTACCAAAAAGTATAGTAATGTGCACATTTGCATTGCCACATTATAACCAGATTAACATAGTGCGAAGTCCTATTTCGAAAAAAAATATGAAAGTTCTATTTTGGTACTTTTTTCTATGTTTTAATCCTATTTAGGGTGATTTCTATATTAAAACGTACAAATAAAAAGAACTAATTTGAAGATCTATGAGGGACAGAGCAAGTAATATGTTTTTTTCGGAGTATTTTTATATACATTAAATTGAAGTTATCTTAGCCAAATATTATAAGGGGAATTTACCTAAATTGTATTAAAACATAGTAACTTTTCCAATGTAGTATCATATATTTTTATTTCCCATTGTAGTACTACTCTTCAATGTCCAGTGGTCATTGTTCCACCGCCACAGGACATTGTTCAAACGAAATGTCCACAATCACTGAACATTGTTTTCGTCACTACATTATTCAAGTAATATTTAAGGAATAAAAAAATTTAAATACTACATTGGAAAAGAACAAATACTATTTTGTGCAAATTTCACCTATTATAAATCGAAAACGAAACCTTTTTTTTTCACTCCATATAAAAAAGGAAGTGATCGAGCTGAAAAGTACGTAGGAGGAGTGAGAAAGAAAGTGTAATGGAGCCTCCTGTATCCAGCCCAAGGATTTCCTTCTCTGCAGATTTTCTGGAGGAGAAAGATTTCATATCAATATGCCCCGCCCAATCAGATAATAAACAGAACAATGACAATGAGAAAGGCCGCCGCAGCAATCCAACAGAGTTCGAATTCCTCTCCGGCGAGATCAACAACACTATGATGATCACCGCAGACAAGCTCTTCTCCGAGGGAAAGTTGCTCCCCTTCAGCTGGCAAATGCAGCTTCCCGCCGACAAGATCCGCCGGAATGCCGGCGAAGAGGAGGCGCCGGAGAAGCCAAGATCCGGCGAGGAGACGGTGGGCTTGTTTCTTGATGACCACGACGACGACCCGTCTCCCCGGCTGCCGAAATGCACTGTTCTATGGAAAGAGCTGCTGAGGCTGAGGAAGAAGAACAAAGCTTCTTCAGCTTCTTCTTCTTCTTCATTGTCTCCGTCTTCTTCATTGTCTTCGTCTTCTTCGGGCGGCGGTTCTTCGCCGGAGAAGAAGACGAAGAAGATGGAGAAGGGGGGAAATAAATCTGCACCCATAAGGGTAAGGCCTGTAATCAATGTCCCAATTTGCACCCCAAGAAAGAGCACTTCCTCACTATCTCCTCTGTTCAATTTCCCCTGAAGAAGGGATCTTTGGAAAGGTGGCTTTATTCATTAATTAGCCAAATGTTCTGTATGTTATTCTGAATTACTTGCAGCTTTGTGATCTTTTCTTGCTAAACCAAGATTATATTTCTTCTGTTCATCTATTGCTACTTCATTTAATTTACAAAATTTAGATTGATGTTCATCCCACATGATCATATTATTACCCTGGAGTATTAATTTTAATTTCTTACAATAATCGATCTTAGCTTACTCCATTTGTAACCAGATGGACAAGTGAGAGTGCCTTATTAAAAGTAAAAACGTGTATGTGGACAAAGGGATTTGGGAGGCCAAATCTTACAGATTTTCCTTGCAGGTCTAACATGGTCAACCACAAGATATCTTTGTCCCGCTAATTAATCTCGAATCTTCAACATCCCACCCACTATAAATCTTAACTGTTCCTTGAGGATCACTATTCCCTAATACTCAGTTACTTTTTGCCTTAATTATTTTCTTCTCTTTTAATCACTATTCCTTCATCTCATAAGAATGTATTTTAACGTAAAAATGACTTTATTGGATTTATTGTATTGAGAACTTTCAAAATTATATTTTATTATGCTAATATGGAATATAAAATGAGAGTAATTGAAGTTCAAAATTCGTCCAGTTTGACTCAAAGAAGTCAAACTGGACAAATACACTAGGACAGAGGTAGTATGATTTAAGGGAAGGACCATGCAATACCAAGGTGAAATATGACAGAGTATGGCCACTTGAGCCAATATGAGCAATATTGAGGGATTGACCACCTGCACTAGTGACTGTATCAGTGCCAAAGTATGGCGAAAAAGAGTAGAGGCGTGAGAGATCTAGAGTGACATTTGCATTGGCTCGTGTGTCGAGGAACCTGTTAGATAGATATGGTAATAAATGTAGTTATGGAAGGATTGTTATTATAGTTAACTACCATACTTGGAGAATCCTAATTGATATAGGAATCTATATCTATATAAACTATCTTGTAGACAATTATTTCCTTGAGTTGAAATCATAATTCAATATGGTATCAGAGCACGGAGATCCGTGTCTTCCTTCTTCTCGGTAACTCGAAGAAGAAAAAAAAAAGAAAAAACAAATCGACTCAGCCGATTGTCTCGCCTCCACGCCGCCGACCTGGTCTCCACCGATCGGCCATGGCGTCTCTCTCTTCTGATCCCATGGATCGTCTGCCTACGGGTCTCAAATTGTTTGTCCGGAACCTTCAGTCTCTAACTCCGGTCAAACTCGATGATACCAATTATCCCTCTTGGTCAGCCACGGTTTGCGCCAATCTCATCGCTCATCGTCTCCTTAGTTATGTTGATGGTTCCAAAGTGCCTCATTCATCTCTTGTTTTGGAAGATAAGGCTGCCGACCCTGGCAAGGATGAACTGCCGGTTATGAAACCTAATCCGGCCTTTGATACATGGGTGCTCGTTGATGCACAGATTCGAGCCTGTCTTCTTGCTATTGTCTCTCCAACCGTTCAGACTCATATTCATGCTCTCCCAACCTCTGCTGCAATCTGGAATCATCTAAAACAACAATATAATTCTGTCGCATACACATATTTTTCAATTGAAGGAGCGCTTGCATAGCATCCAAAAGGGCACTGATTCTATGCAAACATATCTGGACATTGTTCTTACTATTGTCTCCTCTCTGAAACTGGCACATGAGGACATCTCTGAACAAGATATTATCCTATGTGTACTTCGTGGCCTCCCGGCAGACTACGCCTCGCTCAAACAGAACATTCACACTAATATTGCGACAGTCACCTTTAATCAAGTGTCTGCGTGGTTACTCTCTGAAGAATTAAATCTCACTTTTGAGAAGAAACTCCACCTTGGGGACCCTGGTTCTCCCTCGTCAACAGATCTTCACAGTGCATTATTCACCAATTCCGGACGGGGTAATGGTCGGGGACGTGGCTGTGGGCCATATCGTGGCCGTGGTGGGCCCTCCCGTGGCAGCAACTATGGCGGCAGAGGAGGCAGACAGTCCTCCTACCGTGAGGATCAGCGAGGTCGCGGGGGTGGACGAGGGACCGGCAACACGTGTCAATTGTGTGGAAAGACTGGCCATGCGGTCTGGAATTGTTGGCACCGCTACGATGAATCTTATTCCGGCCCTCCACAGGCATACTACACCAACCAATCTGCTGAAACCAATCCGAACTGGCATCTAGACACTGGAGCGAACACTCATGTGACATATGATTTTTCTCAGTTGCATACTTCTTCACCATATCATGGCACCAATTCTATTACTACTGCGGGAGGTAATACTTATCATATTGACCATACAGGCTCAGGTATTCTCACCACCCCAAACCATACCTTTACCTTAACCAATCTTCTTCATTCACCTTATATTAATTCTCACCTACTGTCTGTTCATCAGTTTACCAAAGATAATAATTGTTCTCTACTTTTTACTTCCAAGGATTTTATGATTCGGGACAACACCACCAACCAAGTTCTTTTCAACGGCCCTTGTGAGCGTGGCTTATATTCTCTCCCTGTCTCCAGTTCGTCACCAGTGGTCAACTCCGTCAAAATTACTCCCTATCAATGGCACTGCCATCTTGGTCATCCTTCCGTTCAAGTCACTAAGTCTCTGTTATCTCAATTGGGGTTTAAATTTCAGGAACTTGATCATTGTAATTCTTGTTCTGTTGCTAAATCTCATAAACTCCCCTTCCCTGTGTCACAAACTAAAACATCTGCTCCTTTTGAACTTGTTCACTCTAATGTATGGGGACCTACTTCTGTACCCTCCTTTAGAGGTTATCATTTTTATATTAATTTCATTGATGATTTTACCAAGTTTTGTTGGTTGTACCGACTTAAACATAAGTCTGATGCATTTGATGCTTTTCTCAGTTTTGAGTCTATGGTTCGAACTCAGTTCAATGCACAAATTAAAATCTTTTGAACTGATAATGGGCGGGAATATGTCAATACAAAGTTTGGTTTGTTCTTACAAAGTTTGGGGGTTCTACATCAAAAATCTTATCCATACACTCTTGAGCAAAATGGAGTGGCTGAGAGAAAACATCGTCACTTAGTCGAAACCCTTGTCACACTCCTTTGCACGGCGTCTCTCCCAGCAAAATTTTGGGTGGAAGCCTTAGCCACGGCAAATTTTCTGATCAATCGCATGCCCAAACGGTCTCTGAATCATAAGTCTCCCTTTGAGTCCCTCTTTCGCAAACCGCCAGACTATTCCGTATTTCGAATTTTTGGATGTTTATCATATCCGTGTCTTCGCCATGAGATCACTAATAAATTCCAACCCCGGTCCAAACCTTGCATATTCCTTGGGTATGATTCCTCCTCCAAAGGGTACTGGTGTTTTGATCGCACCACGGGTCATATATACATCTCCCGTCATGTCCAGTTTCAAGAAAATCACTTTCCCTACTCCACCGTTTCTCCACAGTCAGGGTCGTCTACTACTCCGCCTCCGGTGTTCCATGGTATCCTTCCTCTCTTTCCCGTCCATGCTCACACGGGTATCCAAACCCATCCAACACCAACACCCCAACCCACCCAACCGAAACCCACCCCCTGCCAAACCGTAACCCGAAACCCACCCAGCCCCAGCCCCGTACCCACTAGCCCGTCACCCCAGCCCCATACCCCTCCCACTCATATTCAATTTGGCAGCCTCTCCCCAACCCTGGGTAGTCCTGAATCGTCACCTATCCCCTCCCCGCCCCC